CGTAATTGTGGACGCGATGCCGTCAGGTTGGACAATACGGCTTCCTAACTCTAATAGTGGTCATTGCTTGCTGATAACTGTAGCAACCTCGTTAGTGTTCTATGTAGTATTATATATTTACATAACGACGTTAATGCTGAGCGAGCGATGCAACACCCGACTTCACAGCCAAATATTTGTCATAGATTTTCGTGTGTACCTGTGCTTTACTTAACCTATTTCGTAAACATAAAATTTTCGAGTGATCTCTTTGCTGTAAAATAAATCAATCACAATGGAAATATATAGCAAACATTATATGTGAATTGTAATTGCTAAAGCAAAGGCGTGAATACAAAAGCTGAAGATAATATTTGCCGAAATATAATCAATAAAACAGTTGTATTTGTTCAAATAAATTAGAAAATAGTCAACAGATACGGAATATCGTTTGACAAGTATAGAAAATGGTGGAAAAAGGGAAAAAATAATTTTCCATCAGTTGTATTTTGATGCATTGTAGATACATATTTTCAAAGAAACTTCTAAAGAATAAAATAAAAGCATATATGTTGAATGGACATACAAATTGATACTGACTAATAGTAGAGTTCCTTTTATTTTATACCTCTAGCGCTTTAATCATCTGTTTCTCTAGTCACAAGTAGTAGACTTCAGCATATTTCGCTCGCTCTGTTTTCAACTTTTAAGCTTGCTATGTTCAAGTCCACTTTTATTATTTCCATCCTTTTATTAAATTTTCTTCCAATAGCAAAATATCATCATAGACTCAAGAATACTTTAATATAATTTACATTGTTTATTACTTTGTTAATTATATAAAGTACACTTATTTAGAAATTATTTCAAATATTTTCTCTGCTCAGAATATTATTATGTACTCAAAGAGAAAATTTTTCATTGACTACATTTGTATCTGGTGAATAAATGTCACAATGTAGTCTATAAAAATTTTTATTTTTAAATAATTTTGAAAAGTTTTAAACTTTATGAATTGTTGAAAGTTTGATGGAATATTTTTTTATGATACTTGATTTTAAAAAGTAGGATAAACAAAAACCCGAAGCAATTATGGTTCAAGTAATATCAATATGTCAGATGAAAAAGAAGGAAATTTTTCAAAAAAATCTGAAACTAATATTTTTGATTCATAGCACTAGGGTGTACTTGATAAATCATTATCAAAATTACAAATAACTGTGCGTGCAACCACTAATTTTTTATCCTTTAATGTTTCATATTTTTAGAACAAATTTTTTTTAGCTATTATTTCTTGAAATAGCTTCTATCAGAAAGAATGAGACATAAATTAGAACATAAATAAAAATAATATGTGTGTGTTTGTGTCTTTGTTACCAATGTTACACTACTTTTCTATTATTGATACTAGTTTTTCTTTTTTTTTTTTTGCTGCATTTTATTTCTAAATTATTATTTTTTTCTTACTCTATTTCCAATGCTGTAGTTGTTTTTTTTTTTTTATCGAAGTGCATCGCAGCTTTGGGGATAACGTGGCTTATGTGATGAAATGGTTTCTGGGATTTCCCATGTGAAAACGAGTTACTGCGTTTTGAAGCCATGAGGGCAAGACTTGAGTGTCTATTTGATATATTACCGAATCCCACACTTTTTCTCGTAAACTATTTGTAAGCCCGCGGGTCATCACAACCGATGGTTTTCCAGCCTGCATTCCGTCTATCAGATGATTGGAAGAAAAATGAAAGGTACAATTGCATATTGAAAATGTACATCCCAATAGATTCATAATCATTTATGTGAGTATATTTTTATTCCTTTTGAGGAATTTTAAATCCAAGCAATCGATCAAATTCGTTTCTGTTTTAGAAATTCATCACTCCTTTTTATTTCCACTTTGATATTTCCTCCTTACATTCTATTCTACTCTCAGTTCGATCATGATTAATATACGTTTGTATTATTGTTCATTTTTGCTTTTTTCATCATTCTTTCTTCATCATAAAATAAAACTTAAAAAGATATCATTGAGGAATACATTTTCTATTTGAAATGCTGTAACTCTATATCATAAAACAATACAATATGTTATTATGATACCATCATTTGCTAAATATTATTATTTTGAAGTAAAATAATGTGATTCTATTTCAGCAATGTCTTGTCGTATCATTATTACATGGCTCAAAGCAATAAATATATTTCTTTGTAAGGTGTGCGTCAATATTTAAAGTCAAATCTAAGGAAATTGAAAAAACACTAGAAACGATGGCTTTAAAAATAAATAAATGTGTTTTTTATTGAATCACCAATGGCAGGAGGAAAGGAAGAGAATGGGTAGACGTGAAAGATAGAGAAAAGAACAAAACAGAAATACAAAGAGGAACTCGAGACTGTCCACTTTTTCAGTGGTCAATAGCTGTGGGTGAAATGGAGCTATTGCTCGTATGGACACGTGTAGAGGGTTCTATCAGGAGGAATCGGGTCAACTTGAGGCAGGACAGAAGCTCGGGTTCACCCCAGATTGATGCGAGATGCAAGCGGAGACAACCCTGGTGGTAGCAATTGAAGTGAACAAGTAGATATCAGTTGAACAGAGATCCGAAGAAGAAGGAGAACTAGCACAAGCTATACATGAAACAGAGCTAGAAGTAGAGATGCTGTTGGAGATCTGCTTTGACCAGCCAATTCAGCATCAACTATACGACCACTCGACCGCAAATCGAGTTCCGGACAGAGGGGTTCAGACTAAAATCGGTCTCGCTACCCCTATGAAAACCGATTCACGTATAGTTGCCTAGAGTAAGACATTATCCGCGAGGGACGCATTTACTCGGTGTGTCGGAGGGTGGGATAGGAAAGAGAAAGCAGTTTAATGGTCGCGTCGACTGCGAAAAGTGGGATGTCGTCCGCGTAGCCATGGGTTGACTTGACTTCCGCCGGATACGATGTTTCGCGTTATCATTCTGCTTTATTACGGATACTGGCGTACACTAACGCTTGAGAGAGACTGATTTATGTCGAGGATGTGGCCCTTCCTTTTCCCTATCGTCTTTCTTCCGTTCTTCTTTGCGTATATTCACTCATACGAATTTAGTTAAATGCAAGTAACAAATGCTTTGTAAAAAATCTCACCGGATTACGTCATTGTTTGGCTCTTTTTTGCTGTGGAGTTGACTTTTGACAATATGCTGCATGACGTGTTTTTTTTGCTGACGATAAATTTATTAAGCAAAACCCCTCTGAACATAAATTGAAGCCTTAGGACAAATTGGGGAAAAATGATAAAGAGATAAAAATATTGTGCTGGATCATTCTCAATTATGGATGGGTAGTTATACTATTACTGTTATTTATTTTATCGTTTTACGTAAATATTTTTTTCATAAACAATGTGGTAAATTTAGAACTTGATAACTTTTAATTACTTTCTTATCAGAATTTTCTTAAAAGACGGAAATTAAACACTTCATCAGAAAAATAATTCAATTAATCATTTTTAAGGATCATTTTTCTTGTAAATATTCTAGCGTGAAAAAAATTTATTCATATAAAAAATATTTATTGATATTGGGAGACGTGACTAACTTGAGAAAATAGTACTAACATATTAGAATTACGTTAAAGACATAAATCAACCTTGATAAAATTGTGTGTAGGGTAAATCTGGACATGACTGGCCAGAAAAGTAACCTTAGCATACATATGTTAGAGCATATGGACAAATTTACTTGATTTATTTAGATAAACTTCATTTATACCAGATCTTGTATTATATATCCTAATAAAATCAGTGTTAATTTTTATAGCATTGTGATGCCATAAATTATTAAAATAACATCCAAAAGAACACTCTCTTTTAGCCTATGTCTAGTGCAATAGCTGGGAACATTTAAAATAACAAATTAATTATTCTTTAATTTAAAATAAAATGATAAGGAAATTATATCAACAGGGTTATTTATAAATTTAAAAAAGAACTTGAAAGCCAATTGAAAGATTCATTAAATAATAAATTAAAATTATAAGATTTCACTTTTTTGAAATATATCAAGAATAAATATTTGAAACTTACTTCTGACATTTTAATCCGAAACGATAATTTTTATTTCAAACTGTGTTCCTTTTAATTTCAAAAATATTATCACAATTAATTATTCGAAATTACTTTACATAACAACAATTAAATATGTCTTTATAATTTAATGGTTTGAACTCAAGTGTCATTTGAAGGACATTCTTGGCTGCTACTACCAGGTAGCAATATTCCTTCTTTTACATTTTTAATTAAATGATTTATTTTGACTGGCTTGAAAAAATCGATCTTTCTTTTAATTTCTTTTTCATTTATAATTAAATATTTTTGACAATGTTCTATATTTCTTTGCATACTAAGTTTTACCTAAAGTATTGTTAAACACAATATTGATTAGTTATATACAATAAAAAATATTTTTCAAAATAAATTCAATGATTGTAGATAAATTTTAAATATATTTCTCGATGTTACATTTTAAATAATGAATATATGGAGTGACAGCATTAATTGTTCAAGTTAATTTAATTCTTCAAAGTAAAAAAAAGTACTTTCGTATTCGTTAAATTAAATTAATAATCAATTAATTAAATTTTAAAAATATCATCATTCCATTGTTAAAACATTAAAGTCAGTTATTTCATTAACATATTAAAAATGATCTATAAATCATAAACTTTTTCATTCATTTTTAAGAATAGAGTTCAGTACAGCTATTATTACTCAGACAGTTTATAATAATTAATTAATATCAATAAATCACTTCTAAACGACCGGCAAATACATTTTCTAATTACAGAAATTTTTTATCAAATATAGACATGCTTTATCTAATAATCATCACTATTTTTAGAGTAAATATTTTTATTTTACTTCAGAAAAAATAATTTAATTGATCGAATGATAGATCTGTGTGTGAAGTCGATCAATTATTTATCGCAAAAGTATTAAGTTGATAAATTGATCTAATTCTTTTTCCTTGTTGCAGTTCCACCGGATATAATCGATCACGAGACAAGTACAGACATGGTTGTTCGAGAAGGAAGCAACGTAACACTCCGATGTACAGCCACGGGTTCGCCAACACCCAACATTACCTGGCGTCGTGAAGATGGCCAGATATTCCTTGGAAATGAGCAAAAAGGTAGGACATTCGCTACTTGAAGATATCATGAGATAAAAGTTAACTGCATTATATCTTAATAGGATTCCATTACTAATTAAAAATATGACATTCTCTGGTATGGTATGAGACTTATTAAGTTAAGCGATCCTCTAAGTTACACTTTACTTCATTTCCTGAATTAAGTACTATTTTTAATAGTCTGCGCAGAAAGATTACGAGAAAATATTTCTACAGTTTACGGTTTCACTACATTCAGACACCTATAGTAAATTCTTCCTGTAGTATTTTGAGAGAGAGAGAGATGAATTCACACATGATATAGAGGTGAAGCAAGGCCAGGCGGTTATGAGGAAACGAAAGGTATATTTATACGAGCAGGAAATGCTTCCATATTTGCATTGAAATTGGCAAACACGCGGGCGGCGCGTTTCCACACCGTTTTCCCTCGGGACTACAATGAATAATCGGTAAACTCACATGCTTCTGTCATGTTACTGTTTAACACTCGGCAACACTAATTATAAATTCCAGAAGATTAGAAGTCTTTTGACACATTTTATTTAGAGACGTTAATAAAAAAATTCATCGCATTCTAGGATACTCACTCGACATTTTAAAAATTTTTGTATCAAATTTATTTAATTACCAATCGTCTATCGAAAAAGGAATGTATCGGTATTTTATATATTTTATTAATCAGTATTGAATCCTGGTTTTAACTACAATAAAGGATTTTATTAATTTTTCATTATACTTCGAAACAGATTTCTAGCTATTATGTTATCAATATTTTATTTAAAATATAATTCTAGGATTAAGCTGGAAAAGAGTATTCGGAACAGTAATAATCTCCATTATTTTTATGTTTTTTTGTTATTAACATCAATTTAAAAAAAAAGACACATAGAATAGGGAATTATTTTAAATTCATTCTGAATTATGTGAGTACCCAGTTCTGTCCTAGATACCTGTTTTTTATACTGATCTAGCTTTTAATTAGCACCGTTTAGCTAATTACGAAAAAAATTCTTAGGGAATTTAAAAAATTTTATTTCACCCTTGCTCCACTGGTGCTCCCATAAATTGTAATATGTTCTCGAGCCGAAATACAGGTACTTGTTGAAGTCTTTTTGAATCCCTGACGAGTACTTTACAGTAATGAATTTAAATTGTAACAGATAATCGAACACATATAAACAATATAAGCAGTGATGAAGGATAATATTTAATTAATCAAAACTTATTATCTCTCAAATACTTATTAAGATAACTGTTTCCCATGCTTTTTTCCGGCTGAGTACCTTGAACAAAAGTAGATAAATTTTTTATTTTAGTCCTATTATTTATGCATACACAAAATAATTACTTAATAAAACTATAAAATTATTAAACCTAAGAGATTTTTTCGTAAGATTCTTATTAAGTCCTTATAAAAGGTTCTTTAATATTCTATAAATAATAATTGGATAATTTTTAATATTTAAAAATCAGAACTCTAAGTTATGAGAAAAATATCTATATTTTGAGTCGGGTTGACAAAAGAATAGGATGAATTGATGATTTCAGTTACCATAGTTGCTCAAGTGTTATCGAAAATAATAAAATGTGTCATTTAAATGATAATTTTATCGACGGGAATCACGATAATAATTTTTTCGACATCTCTGTGGACGTATTTTATTAGAGTTTTTACAGTGTTTTTATCGTCTATCACAACAAGCCCGGTTATCATAAAATATCTAGCGCACGGTCATATAAGAGTGATGATCTCTACGCAAAGTTTCGTTCCGCATGAAAAAAGCAGCCGTGAAAAAAAGCCAGACATTTAACAACGAAATTAAGTCAGAACATTCATTTTATAGTCGTTGAGGGTTGAGCATCGCGTGTGACGTCTGACAGAAAGAAACCGCGTGGCTTATCAGTAAAGCAGGTATAGGTTTTCTTGCATCGAGGTCAGAGTATTCACTAGGTACTTCATTAGTGGCATTCGTTCTCATCCACTAGTAGAGAGTTAACTCTGCGTTTCTCTAGTTAACCACATGCTTCCTCTTTACTAACCGTTTCCGGCTCCAGGTCGTAAATGTCCGCTATATTCCGGAAATCCTTCCAACTAGTGAATCGAAACGGCGAATTTACTAAACTTATATTCAACTATATTACCTTAATAAAATCATGAGTTTCGCTAACATAAAAGAGCGTCTGAAGACCAGCGCAGTTGTTGGTTCCAAGTTTTTTTCATCAATGAAATTTAATTGAGAAATCAGTGGATAATTGTTTAAGCAGGAAAATATTTAATAATATTCATCGTGTCATTCAGTAGATAGAAATCTTTTTAATCATCTACAATGGAAATTATTTTTATTGACACAACAGTTTATTCACCGGAGCAGAATCAGCTGAGTTTTATTCCTGCTTATAATAATAGATAAATATACACTGAGAAAAAAATTTAATTTGAACAAGCAATGTTTCTTTTAACGAATAAAATTAAGATTTTAAATAATCTCAATAGAACATTTTTTTAAAATTGACATGGTAACAGTTTAATGGTTATTTAAAATAATCAAAAAATAATTTATTAAAAATAAAATACACCTTTATTGTACTCGATTATTTTTTTTTTTAAGATCCATGATGATGTAACAGTATTTAAACCTATCCTAATCTTGAATTAAACGTAATTATTAATTGAATTAAAATTTGTTTGCATATTAAAAATTTTTTTCCCAGTGTATGTAAAGCAGAGATAGAAATAACTAGGATGATAAAATGAGACAATTGCATAAGTTATTTAGGTTGTTGAGTTCAAAACAGCTATTTAATCATATTCATACGTAATAAGCTCGGATACTATTTCCCTGAAATAGGAATTTTGATCTCTATTGGAAAGTTTTCTGAAACCCACTTATGTTATTGTACTCTGTCGACCAACATATTGATCATTCATAAACTACCCATTTCTTTTGTTCTTCAATTTTCTTTTTGCCACTCTCTCTTTCTCTTCAGCTTTATTCTCTTTGTATTCTCCCCATTTCTTTGATCTCGCATTCATCCATTCTTTCGAACCTGCTTTTTAAATTTTACATTTGATTAAAAAATACAGCTAAAGTACAATTGTAACAATCTTTTGCGAATATTTATCTGATATTTATTTCTATTTATTATGAGTTTCTGTTGGAAATTATTAAAGAAAATATTTCTTAATAGATATCATTTAAATGCTGTACTTAAATAAAATTTATTCTTCTCAATAATAATTTATTAAATCCAAAATTCTCTTGGCAGAAAAGCTTCTATAATTTTTCTTAATACTTAATCTAACATTTTATATACCATTTAGCTCACTATGCTCTACAGCTATATAAATACTCAAGGATTTAATTGTGGTAAAAACTAATGGTCTCGCTTTTAGATAAATAAATTGCATTCGCTATTGTGACAAGCTAGAAACAGACTAATGACTATGCCCAAGTAATTATTTTAAAGAAATACATGCTTCAAAAGCCTAAAAGCTTTGGAAAAGGTTGATAATACAATTGTTTTAACTTTTTTCTCATTTTAACTTGATTATATATTTATCTACTTTTTTTAAATACGATTTTCTAACCGCAACTATTTTTTCATTGTACTCATAACAAACATGACAAATTATTTTTTCATTCTTCTATTTTGTTTATATCAATCCTGTTGCATAAATAAATATAAGTAAACTGAAATACTGACAAAACAAATATGCTGAGAAAAAATAATCAATTTATGTTTTTACAGTCAAAAGTGTGGAAGGGAAATACTTCAGGATAACCAAAGTGACACGCTCGCATATGGGATCATATTTGTGTATTGCATCCAATGGCGTACCACCTTCTGTTAGCAAGAGAATCATGCTTATCGTCCATTGTATGAATAAAATTTTATTTTATTATCATTCATAAATTCATATTATTTAACTTTTTTTTTCTTTTAAATAACTTTTTCATTGAAAGATAATATAAAAATGAATATTTATTCAAAATTTAACCTTCAATATTTTTAAAATAATTTAACTATATTTAAAAAATAATATACCATATTTTTAAGCAGAAAATTTTATTGTATTTCTGCAGTTGATATGATACCTTCATCATTCAGAGATATTTTTCAAAGTAAATGCAATTTTTTTTCATCAGTCCAGTTAGCAATAATTTCGTGATGCATGAAATAAAAAATATAAGAATACAAACATTTTATTAATCATATTCTAATGGTATTGATATAGATAAATATTAATTAAATATATATTCATTTTTACAAACTCACGAATTTTTATTTTTACAATTAATAATTGCATTTCCATGTAGAAAGATAAAACATTATATCCCGATCTTGTTAGATTAAAAAAAATATATTCAATATTGTTATATGTGATTGAATTGAATTTTATCAAATCAGAAAAAATAGCTACTGGTGTAATCATTGATCGATTTATTCGATAAAAATAATTATTTTGTTGTCTCAAACTGATTGAATATTGATATAACTTATTATCTATTCCAGTCGCGCCAATGATATGGATCCCAAATCAACTGGTTGGTGCTCGAATAGGCCAAATGATGACTCTAGAGTGTCTGTCAGAAGCATATCCAAAGTCGATTAATTATTGGTCGAAAGATAAATCTGAAATACTTGCTCAAGGTAATACTTAATAAGTGATTTAACAGTAGAATAATTTTTTAACAATAGAGAATGACTAAAATGGCTAATAAATTGTATCAGCTATTAGTATTGAATGTTGAATTAATTAATTGCATGTATACTAGGTAAACTCAATTCTCTCTCTGTTGGGGATTGGATTATGTTACATAAGCACGTACGCAATGTGACCAAACAAGAAGATTAGTAATGGGCGAGCATAAAAATTGCCATTCTCTTGCTTACACTAGTATCTATCAACAAATTTACGTGTTATCATACAAATTTCAAATCTGATATCATCCTCGAAATTATTAGTTTACTTGAATTTGTTTACATGATGTTTCCCATCACTTTCTTTACGTGCCTATGGTTATATTGCCACATTTATATTTTTTTTTTTGTTTCTTCTATTGGCGTCACACAATCATAAGCTGCGTATTTTTTCAACATAAAAAAAAAGACATCAACTTTTCATGCACACCAGCATGTCTATTTTTTTCTAATAAATTTTCTAAATTGAATTTTCTATATAAATCCATTCGTTTGCGGAATTTTTGTTCGTGGTTTGTGCCTGTCAATGTAAAATTTTGTTTTGTAAAATGTTTTATTGAAGAAATCTTGTTAGATCTGTGAAATATGACCATCCATGAAATTTAAAAAAATATTTATAAATATTAAAATGGTGATATTTAGCCTGATTCACTAGAATTTACTTTCGAATTTACATATTGATGTGATTGGAACTATTGTATGAATAGCGTTAAAAAATAGTAAACGTATGGAAAAAATTTATTTTTCAATTTATTTAATTTTCATTTTCTTCAATTAGTAAAATTATTTGCATATTCATCGTATCCTGGTTCACATTTCATATTATACCAGTTTGAAACTTGAAATTTTATTAAAATAGTAAACTGTGAACTTTATTTATTACATTTAGGACTCTACGTTGACTGAAAATTTTGCTGTGTAAAATATTAACTAGAAATTATTCAAAAATGGAGATCCATCAAGTATTTTATTTGCTGAAATGAATACAGATAAGACCTTGTACTGTGCTGACACCGAATCCAAATATATCTTTTTTAATAACAGAAAAATCTTTCTTATATGATAGTTCAGTTACACATGAATATTAATGATTTACCTAAGCTTTGAACTTTCTGACTTGGATTCACATTCTATAATTAATAATTCATCAATATTTTATGAATAAAAATACGTATCAATTATCTATAAAAAAATTAAATGCTTCAATAAAAACGAAAATAGCATAATATTTACATTTCAAACTATAATGAATACAAATTAAAATTTTTATGAATTAATATGTTGATTTCTTTTGGAATTCAAGTACTAAATACTCATGGGAAATTTCGTGTAGCTCCCACTAATACTCTTAGAATTATAGCAGAATAATAGACAGACAGACAAGCGTGTAAATTAAATTAAGAGATTGCATGTATGTGATGCAATTAAGCTTTGAAAAATAATAAAGTCCAATGTTGAAATTTAAATGAAGTAGTCCATGTTCAAAAAATTTACCTAGGTATTAATACAGTGGTTCGTTTAGTAATATTGTTTCTATTAACATTCATTAAAATTCTAATATGAATTTTGCTAGCAGTGATAGTCTCTGTTATTGCCCACAGAATTAGATCCAAAGTTAATAACAGCAAAATGACTACATCAGTTTATATTTTTTTATCATGTAAAATTTATTGCTAATCAAAACTGATTGATATTATATTTTAACATGATGAAAGTAATTGGGTCAATGGTGTCAACTTATGATTCTTCCTGTATATATTTTCCACATATTTCTGGAAATGGATGATTCATTGACAGAATAAATGGCCACAAGTTTTTTTTATTGACTGATTGCAGCATCGAAATTTCTTTTACGAAGCCAACTAGTATTGGTGAAAGACGGAAATGCTTGAATGGTGTCGATCTAAACAGAAATCACGTTAACTTAACCCCTGCGTGCCGAATACTAAAATAAGCCAGACTGACGAATAGGTTAAAGCCATCATCTAACCTGATTGAACCATTGTGACGTAGCTTCAATAAACGAGAAAAATTTTTCGATGAATTCTTTCCACTGTAGTATATAACTGTGCTCAAATTTCTCAAGCTTCCGTCTCAATACCTGTATTGATATTTTTTATTTTTTACATATCACATCAACTGTCATTACTATTATTAAATGGGTTTATTTAATAATTTTCAGATGGAAAATTTGAACCGGTGCTTATTGATAATACCTACAAAGTCAGGATGAAACTTACAATACGATATGTCACTCCAGCTGATTTTGGTACTTATAAATGTGTATCCCGCAACTCCTTAGGCGACACTGATGGCACTATCAAACTTTATGGTAATTGTTTTGTTCAAATATTTCATGTTATCTTATCTTATCTTCTTAAGAATGATACGACTAATTTTTTAGTTTTTTAAGATAATACTAAATGTCTGATCATAATAAAATTATTCTACTTAGGATTTAAATTTTAAATTTAAAAATAGTTATTGATTTATTTACATTCATTTCATTCATTGCACTAAAAATTTTATCTAAACATTAATCCAATATTTTTTATCAAAAGAAAAATCCTATTTTTTTTAATTATTGGAGTAAAAAGCATTTTTAAATATTAACGATCAATCTCCAAAGCAATATTAATAAAGGATGAGGTTTGTTAATAACGAATAAAATGTTTGTTAAATGAAAGAAAAAAAAAAAAAAAAAAAAAAAATTTAATAAATTTCCAATAGATAATCTGTTTCACGACTTTTTTTTATTTCATTTGCAATACAAACATTTTATAACACAGGATTATGATTTGATGTTAGTAATTAATTTTTATTCAACAAGTATAAAGTAAAATACGTTTTTATTTCTAATTGTAATATTTACATAGGCAATATTTAAGTAAATTCGATCGTTAATAGTGTTTAAAAGTACTTTTCAAATGATTAACTTGTGCAGTCAAAGTACCCACAAAGTCCATAAGTAGCTTGTCTGAATAACTTTACAAATTGTATTGTTTTATCTAAGACAATAGAAAAATTAGTAAAATAAAGAATAAAACATTTTCTGTATTTTATAACTCAAGTTCAAATTAAATTACTCGGAATTTATGGTTTTTATTAATCAATCTCTAATAAGTGCAGTTGTCACCAAGCTAATGTGACATCTGCCCATACTAAGAGGTCTCAACCACAAAGGGTTAAAGGACGCTGACATACTGACACATATGCGGACGGACAGGAATTCTAGTAATAGTATATAAGGGTGGTGATAATAATCTAATAATAAAACCAAATAGACATAACGTTAGATAAATTATCTGAAATAAAATAATTATTCAACTCACACCAATCATTCCTTATCACCATGGCAATGAAAAATAATAACTCTTCAACATTTTGGTTAATTAAAATTGCTACCCCTCTTCATTTTATTACACCATTCACTTAGGGAATGATGGAGTCGCGACATTTTAATATTACCTCTTCTTTTCTCTTTGCAGAAATAACTTCAGATAACGACCATAATACACATGAGGACAGCAGTGAGTATAAAGGTAAGAATAAGTTAATAAAAAAATTTAATAAAATAGAAAGATATATTCTGAGATTTGCATTTTCAGTACCTCAAATATCGAATATAGCAATAAATTCATAACGAGATAAAAGCAAAGCAACGAGATGTAATATAATACTGTTCTTTTGTACAGCACTACAAAACAAATGCATTCGAATCGACATAATAAAACGGCACTACGAATAGATATTATCTATCTCTGTGTTGGAAAAATTTTTAAAGAATCAGAGATGCGCGTGAGGATGTATTTGGAATATATTCGTGTTCGAAATAGACATCAGGAACAGTTGTTGAGGAGTACTTGAGCAGGCTTTGTATTATAGAAAAGTGAATAGAGTTAGGAGGTACTCATTTTTTTCTGAAACAATGTAATAGAATTCAGACAAGTATTACTGGCTCGATGATTAATTAGATCGAGAATACTCTTTGAACAGCTGAAAACTCTTATCGAGTATTTTCGAAAAAAAGTGTAACTGTTGAATAATGTGATTGTTGTTGGTGAGATTCTAATATTGATAATCATAGTAGTCATTCTCACAACTCGATGATGATTAAGTAGAAAAGATATTTTTTATGCATTCAAAAATAATTATTTTCAAAAAAAAAACATTTTTTAGGTACTTTATTTTTTCTTTGCATTTTTAGTTGAGCAGTTGAATGAAAAAAAGTGTAGTGATAGGAATATTTTTAATGCTGTCTGAAGATGCTTTAGGATTTTATTCCTAGGATATTTAGATTAATACGTCTGCTCGATGTATCAATCTACTCATTTTATTTCAATTTGGGTGCATTGAAACTGAATATTCTCATAGGAGAAGGTGGGGTAAGACGGGGACTTTAAGATATTTCAAAAATAAAACCCTTCATTTTTTAATTGCACAATGTATGAATGGTTTTATTGAAAAAAATTATCAGTTATTCTTCTTTTAAATTCTAATAAGTCAAAAGAATAAAATAGAATTCTTCTTATATAAATATCAATTTGAAAAAAATGACTTCCCCATCTTGCCCCATCCGTAGGGCAAAATGGTGTACCCCTTGTTATTGGGGTAAGATGGGATATAGAATGTTTAATCGTCGTTGTCTCCACAAACTAGGCAGATATGGATAGCTTGAGTTTAGAAAAGTTAATTGAATAGATGTCAATGAAAAAATATTACATAGATCTTGTACACCGGATATTTTAAACAGTCACGCACTTAATATACGTCAAAAATTGGATGAAACCACTTAATTTTTTTTTTAATTAATTATGTTAGCTGATGAATTTTTTATTTCATTATAACTTTCTTATATAAAAATTGACAGGCAAGATATTTGAAATGATAAAGCATTTATCATAAACTGAAAAATGAATGAATAATATCACTTAAAGCTTCGGTATCATAAATTCATTTATTGAAAATCGATGTAAACTATGTACTCATTCATTATTTATCAAGAAATAATTTCTTTCTCGACGTTTATATAAATTTCAAACACTTTTTTAAGTCAAGAATTTTTTAATTTCCAAAACGAGTTTCGAAAGCTCATATTGTTTGTTTGACAAAATTTTTTCATAAAACTTTTCGCCATTCATTTTTAATTTATTTGTTGGTTATTATTTTTGTCTTTTGTACTGCATGCTTTTATGAATTCGAAAAAATACTGGTATTAATATCGCCAGAGTACCAACTTACAGCTACAAATATCTCTTTTGAAATATTTTCATCGAAAATTTTACAAAAAAAAACTCTGTAGATTGTTATTTTTTTGAAATGCTATACAAGGGTGGTATATTTCTGTTCATCAACTGTCACTCAATTATCAATTAGGTCATGAATTCCAAATAAAAATTAACTAGTAAATGTTACCATGTTAAATAATTGAAAATTGGCTAGATTTTCTTTGATGTCAATCCAACAGTCTTAGTTAAACAATCATATCAGAAATACGAGTGTAACTTTGTAAACGTATTTCATAAAAAAATCTTAGGTTTGGTTGGACGTTATTCAAGAGGATCAGAGGAGTAGTTTTAACCACAAACGATTTACCACCCCCGTCTATTCAACTTTATGAATAAGCAAATCCTCGCATAATCCGATTAGACTTGAGCTGTAAAGTATATCTGAAACAGGGTAAATATTACTCCGAGTATAGAACTACGTGTAATATACTTGTATCTTTGAAACTAAGCGGATGCAGTGGTAATTGCTTACTACTTTCCTTGTTTAGAATTTATCGTTAGATATTTTTCCTAACATTATCAATAAAAACTTTCAACTCTTCAACAGACACTTTTCTATTTCTTTAAGAAGACGATGGCTGAAGAATAGCGAATAATTTATTACCAAAAAATAATTTTCATCTTTACGGATAATTTATCATTACCTTCTCTGAAAGATTAATTTAGAAAATTTTATTATTAAAGACTTCTGCAATCATTTACTTTTTTACTTGAAAATTTATTTTTCAACTGTACTAGATCTAAATAGATTACCTTCAAAGTATTTTGATATTAATACCTTATCAGTCTGATTCTTAAAATAGGATACTGATAGTAATCCTCATCAGTCGAATTTGTCATAAGTTGACTCAATATTGAAAATTGATGTTCCAAATGATTATCATAGTTTGTCAGATTATCGAACAAGTTGTCCAACATAACTTCATTCCTGAGAAATAAGTAATAAGTGGATTTTATCGTTACAGACTTCTAAGAGGATTCCAAGCAGATAGTTTGATGAACGAGTTAATAAACTAGAGGAATATGATTATATATATATTTTAAAAATAAAAGATCATTTTTTTATTTGTTGATAAATATTTTATGTCAGGGAATCCTTCCATTCTGAAAGCAATCAAAACAAAAACTTTGGCAAGGTGTACTGCATGATAATAATACGTGTATATTAATCTCATGTCGTATTATCCATCTAATTTTATCACAACAAAGCATTAAATTATATTTACTTTTAATACGATTTACCACTGCCAGTTATGAAACGGTTTGCAGACTTGTCTAAAATTTGTGGCGTTTCGTTGAGAATGTAACATCATTTCTGCACATCTCTCGTATATATCCTAGGGAATTATTAACGTCGGACGAAATTCCTGGGGCATCCGGTAGCAACGATTAATCTTCGCGAGAACTATTGCACTCCTCTCTTGATCCTCTTTCTAAGGATATGCGGGATTAAATCTCAGGCTCATTGGAGACAATGTGCCGTGGTAATTTCCGTGATTTCGTGCTAAATATTACTCCTCAAGTTGAGCTGGCGGAAATCCAAAGCGGGGGAAAAAATAATTTATTTAGCTTTTTTTCATACCGAGGAGTGAAATAAAAAGTTTACTGGGTATATTTTGATGCAAGAAAGTAAGTTAAACTTCTCCACTGTTTCATATACTCAGCTTTAAAACTACAAAGAATGTGTTTTATTCTAAGAAGTTTAAAACTCTAGCACATTGCATAAAGCTGTCCGGCAGTGATATATAATTTAGACGGTTGGTCTCTTTGAAGAAGTATATGAGCAGACGTCGGTATTGTACTGTCTTGTATAGAGCTAATTTGATGGTGCGAATTATAATGGAATTATTATTGTGTTACAAAAAGATTCATACATTCAGAATAAATTTTTTGCTATACAAAAAAATATTTATTTCATCAATAAAAGGAATTTAAAATGTTCAGATAATTTTATTCGAAATAATCAAGCACAATAAAAATGTATTCTTCCAATAAATTATTTTTTAATTATTTTCAGTAAACATCAGAACTAAATCATAACATTAGTAAGAACTATCTAAAGTATCGTTACGGACAAATCGCTGTTAGAACAATACTGGATAGCTATAAAAGCTATCTACATCACTAAAGAGTGACTCGTGACGTCACACGCCCATAAGCTCATCTCTAATTATAAAATTATAATTTTAACGTCATTTGATAAGAATACTATTTATTATTATAAAAAATACATTGCTGCTAAAGTTAAAAAATATTCTTAGACTAAAATCTGAACAATACTAACAAGGCGATATTTAAAATAGCTGTATAAAAACTATCTTTCCAAAACAACTGGATTAGATATCGTCAAAGAATTATTTAGATAATCTCTACAGCTATTTAATGAGATAGTCAATGTAAGGGGCACGGTATTCCTACAACAATAAATTTTATTTATTGTATAAAAATGTTACCACGTCAATTTATATTTTATTGTGACTATTTCAAATTTGGATTTTATTAGTTGAAGAAATTATGGATTGTTCACAGTCAATTTTTCTTTCGGTGTACGGTAATAATAAATTTAAAAGTGATATTAATTGTCAAAATGGTGCTGGTATATTTCAAGATGACGGATATATACAGCAAGTTGAATGAAATTTCAACAGTAAATTTTAGTATGCAGTTATCTTTGAATACAAAGCTTCCATCTAAGGGAGGGTTCTTACCCTATCATCCGTTTGTTTCAACTTGTCTTTCTCTGTTTCTTTACTCGTCCGCACGTGGCAGGAATAATACATGTCTCATTCCGCTTGGATTCACCGTGACAAATTTGCCGATTCTTCCCTCGTGTGTGTTCATCGAGCTCTTCGCACAGATTCACTCTCCCTTGACACGCGTCAACTCGGAACTACGATAGCGTAGCCGATATGTCGCATTATCATACAACTGGGGACGTATTACTATCGACAATGTTGAAGCGTATCTATCATACGTGAGTTCTACAAGCATTGCTATAGACTTCTTGGCTCATCGCTTTCATTCTCGGGAAAACCAGTCCGCCCCTGGAAATAAATTAGGATCGACTGAAGAGACGCAAGATGAAAATGATGCTCTATTGTTCGCACGATGGTATGCTGTATTACCATGAACCCGTTCTACTGTAAGCATGTACATTGCTGTTTGAGTATTGTGTAACTGCATTGCTTGCGGCCATGGTATAATTATAATTGCGGAGGTACACGGATAAAAGATAGCAGTGTTAAGAATAAGAGTTACTGGATAATTTTGTGAGACCTGAAAAACATGATAAGATACTCAGCAATGGTTCATTTAACATTTCCGTGATGCTTTTCAACTTGTCTAGTATCCTCGTTATGTAATACAAGCCATTTCTTTTCAGAGTTTAACGGTTAATCTTGTTGGCTAGGAAGTTTTTACACTTTTACTCTTATTTTATGGTTAATCGATGTTTTTATCAGGCGTGTCGGCTTGTTAGTTACTCTGAAAAAATTATTCGTCAAGTTTTGAATGATGTTACTTTAAATAAAAATATTTTTTTTTATTTGGTTAATAATATTTAGAAGAAAAATGAGATTGGAAACTTTTGATTAAACAAAAATAAGCAAAATAAATTGGAATTTCTTGAATCAATAAAATTTTAGCTCTTTGATGTTCATCAAAAAATATTTTAGTTTATTTTATATTACTAATATTTGTATATCTATTTATTTAATTGTACTTAATTAATGGTTGGATCAAAAACTGGCTGTAAATGAAAAAGAGATTGGGAGTTATGAAATATTATTTTAGAATTTTTAGCAAAATAAAAAAAAAATGTTTTCAATCTGTGCTGGAATGGATTGTGAATGAATACACGATACATACTGACATTCGATTAAAGGTCACCGCAGTGTGGAAATAATGCAAATACCAGGATGACGATAAATTATCAGGTTGAAAAAGCGAGATTTATGATACTAGGATTACTGTTCATGGGTCAACTTAAGTAGTCAAAAAAGTCATTGTCATCCGTGTCACGCGATAGTCAACCTTACAACGACGTAAAACGAGCCAAGTTGTACTACTTGGAAGTAATAAAAAATTCAGACAAACATAATTCTTGATACAAAATCTCAGCAAACCAAAAAGGATAAACTCGCCATAAACGCTGGCTATGAAGCAACTTTAATATTACAGTTACATCGAGATGTATTATTTAAATTTACATTCATAACAAAGTTATAATTGGTACTTGAGAAATAATAGTGGAAAAAGATAATTAAATCTTATTTACTCGGGAAACTTGAAAAAGCAGATAAATCTTTAAATTCAATGTAGCATTATTTATTGAGTACATTTTTTATTTCATAACAAAAATAATATATTCATTCATAAAAATATATAAACTCCATTTCTTATGTAAATTAATTTTTTGACATTAAATAAAATAATTTTGAAAATTTTTAGAATTCAATTCAATATACTTTTGAATAGTACAAGGCATTTTTTCGTATTATTTTATTCTATTTTCTAGATATAAGGAAAAGCTCTATAGTTCAGTGCAATACTAATATCTTTTATATAATAAAAAAATTTTTGTTATCAATAGATGGAAATATTTTCATAGAAACTATTATCAATACATTTCAATTTCTATAAATAAACAACTCCTAAACATTGTACGATTCTTGAACGAAATTTGTTCAGAAAAAGAATTTACTTTATTCGTTTGTCCAGTTGCTGAAAACGATATTTATATTAGAGCCAAAAAATAGATTGTACATTTTATTGATATATTTAATAATTTACCATTTCAAAGCTTAATTCAATTATTTTTTAATTCTTTATTGATAAAAAAATTGAAGCTTTGTAGAAACAGATTTAGATAAAACAATAAAATATAACTGTCACTCTCAATTTTTCAATTACTTGTGTTTGCATTGCCTTTTTTCTATCATCATAATCATTTCATATGAAGTTCAATCATAATAATTTATCTGCCATTGAATTTTCATTGTATTAAAAAAATTAAAATTTTTTCTAATAAGATTAATTTAATGTATGACATCTCGTTAATTATTACTTCAGTTGAGTTAAATACATTACCGTATATGAATTTTTAATGATGGAATGATTATTTAATCTTATAAAAATACACGACTCTAGTAATTACCATTCATTACTTTTTATTATTATCCAATTTATCTTTACCCGTATGAAAAAATTTTTCGTCTCTACACCAAAAATACTCTAAACGTTTTCTATTTACAAAAACAATATATAAATATTAAAATTAATGAAATAATGATATATAGGAAAAACTGTAAGACATGAAAATGTGTATAACTTCTATACTAATGACGCTACGGGGGTGATTGAGGGCTCAAATGAAAGATCTCGACGAAAGGAAAAAAGTCAATATAGTTCAAATTATTTTTGGACCATAATTAATGCTAAAATTGGAGCAAGTTCCCGTTTTACCCTATTTTAGGAGTGATATAATTAATTTTTTATAAGTTTGACCTGATTCCGCATTTCTACTCATTGAGACGAAGAGAATGAGTGGTCGAACTTGAAAATCGGACAACTTTGATTTTTCGACCCCAAAAAATGGCAAGTGGTACCCCTTTCCATTTTTTTCAGCCAAAAAATAAAAGTACTCCGATTTTGATGATTGAGGGCTCATTCTCTTCGTCTTGATGCGTAGAAATGCGGAATCGGGGCACAGCCCGGAAAAATTCACTTTAACACCCTCTAAGACGGGTAAAAGTAGATACAAATTACAAAGAATCATCCCCTTGACTTTAAACCCCTATAACTCATGAACGGACGGTCCAATAACCCTTTTTACGGACGTTTTAGAAACTTTAGAATCTAAGCTAATGATACATATCCATGAAAAGCGTTTAAAAAATTTCTTTCACCCTCAAAATTGCCAAAATAGTTGGCAACTTCCGAAAAAAATGTGTTTTTTTTTAATATTTTAGCAATTATACGAGTACATTTACATACGATCAAATATAATTAATATTCATATTTTTCTGTTTCTAGGAAAGCTGAGGAAAAATTCAAACAGTTTACTGGAAGGAAATCAAGATATGTTGAAAGAACGAGGTAAAACATTGCATTAAAATTGCGGAAATAGTGAGATTCATAGTTTATTTTTTAGAAGACATTCATTTTCACGTCGACAGTATCTTCTAAAATATCTTAGAATAATCTTTAAATATTAAAAAGTTAAATAGAAGTTATTTGCACGAAAAAAAAACAGAAATAAGAAGTGTTTATTTTTCAGATTTAAAACTTCGAGGACGAAAAGATAATGACATAGATGAAGATGAGGACTATGATGATGGTTCTGGCACGTCCGTAACTAAATGTACGACTGGACTGGTAGTCATCATTACTACATTGGTGCTATGCTTTCACCACCATCCACAGCTGCAAACTCTTCATCCCGCTTGAGAGGATAAACGTTCATTCTAGCTCCCCATTGTATCATCATAATCATTTCAAGAACATGTACAACTCGTTAAAGTCGGTTTTATTGAAAATTAAAGCTTAAACTCCTACAAGGAATCCCCAGTGATAATAATTAATTATGTAGAGCAGTTAACATCGCCAAGTGATGTACAAATTTTCGAACAGAATATTCAAAAAAAAAAAACAAAAAAAATGTGCGTGCTTCTTATAAGCAAAGTGTTTTTTAAATTGTAAGAAAACAGTATGTCAAATAAAAGAAATTATTTTAAGTCGATAGTGCTAAGAGGAATAAGTGAGTTCATTTTTATACTACATGGAGAACATTGCTGATTAATCAACATAATTATCTAAATCTACGAGTAATTTTAATTCAATGATGATCAAATTTTAATTAAATCTAATTAAAGATTATGGAGCAAGATATTTATATGTTGATTGCCATTTTAGAGTCAATCTTATAATTTGCTCACTTTTATCAAGCTAATAATTTTGAGGTGATTTTATTTCATAATTATTCAATGAAGTAGAATTTAAAATAAACTTGAACAAAAACACCAAAAATAAATCTACCTGAATGAAAATGTTTTCTCTAATTGTTTAATTGAAGAGAATATGAGAATAAGTATTAAGTATAATTAATATCAAAGGAATGTTTAAAAATTCAAAATACACAAACATTATTATGTTATTAAAATCTTCATTGAAAGCTCAAAAAGTATAATTATAAATCAGAGTTATAAGATAAATAATTTTTAAATCAGATAGAACTCCATGTAGAGTTATATAAGCTTTAATACTTATGTGCTAATGTGGTTTATATACATCAATGATTGAACTTGACGAATGTACATACAATACGTCCAAATGTGAAGTATATGTATATGTAAAATTATTGTACATGTTTAATAATAAAAAAATCCAGAGAAAAGTTTTACACGCATAGCTTCGAAAAAGTAATACGTAAGCTGATTTCGATTTGTTGATGGTGCCTTACACCTTTTATAAATTCATCCATAGCGGTTTCAGCATTTATCAATTTTTAAATAGTCTTATTTATTGTTTTACTCTCATGTACAATTATTTTCACCAAAATATTGCATCACTTTTGAATTAAATGCATTAATCTCACTTCAATTATATATGTCTAGATTGACTTAAAATATTCAAAGTAATGCGTGTAAATATCATTCAATTTCGATACACTGTACAGTAGAGTGATTTAAAATATTTATCTTAAAATAAAAGCTTCAATATAATATTAATACTATTAGTCATCCTCTAGAAGTCTATGTCATTAAAATTATAAATATATATATAATATATTTTGGGCCTGTAAGAAAATAGAAATACATTTGTATGAAAAATTAATTGATTGAATTAATCGATAAACTCTCCAAGCATTCATGTGAAAACAATAAATTGTATTTATTATCGTAAAAGAGAATCATCAAAACATCAAAAACAAGAGCAGATTACAAGGAACCTTGACACACGTTGCATCTATGTACTTTATGAAGGTATTCACGAATCACTGCATCTGTTCGATGCTTCAAAGACTGCATACTAGCGTGAGATCCACGATTATATTATTCAATAACTTTGACTCCCTCTAAAGCCGTCAGTTCGAAATGACATTCACATTATTTCCGCTGTGGTACAGCTTTAATCTGATTCTGCCGTACCCTCCAACCAAATTCAACAGCTATTATGAATGGATGTAGTAGATGAATCTTTGATTTATTTCTGTGTATACTACCGAAACAACTTTGAAAACTTTTGTGACGAGTGTATACGTACAATCTAGACTTAACATCTGAAACTGTAAATAAGATCTGTTGAATTCAATGAGAATATGATACTGTTGATGAGAAAATGAGATTATTTAGAGATATAGCATATTAAAAATTGTGTATTGATTTTTTGTGAGTCGTGAATGCTGTTTTTAGCTGATAGAGTATCTATCATTGTAAAAGAAATGAATAAATAAATTTAATATAAAAGTATTGTAATGTACATATATATATATACAAACATATATATATATATATTTAATATATTTTATTTTTTAATATTTTTCAAAGCGGGTTAATGACCGCACCATTGTCACGCTTCATGTTGCATAAAATTCTAGAAAAATTGCTTTACCAAAAACAAAGTGTACTGTAGAAACAAAATGAAATAAATGTCTTGTTGTCATAATTCATCATATTCAAAATAATTTATTTAATCTAGAAATTTACTAAACGTTAATTACGTTAATTATTCATGTTAATGGTGGTAACATAATGACTGATTCTTGACGAAATAAATATTTTACAAAATTAGATTTTTTATTTATTATAATTCGATTTCGACGAATTCACGTATGTGTAATAAAGACGAATCAATATTTATGAAATAATGTGAATATTTATGATAGTTTTCTAGAAATTTCATTTATACTATTTTAATCATAATCATGGTGATGATGAAATTAAAAATTCAATCTCTGTCCTCATGATTCAATGGCTTATTTGTTTTGCACAAAAATTTAATATTTATGGACTATTCAAATATTGGACACTATCTTCAAGTAAATGTGTTTTTAATGGATTTGTCAATTTACCAAGCAGAAATATTTAATTCTATAAAAATTTGTAACTTTTGAAACACTTCTGTTAAATCGTCATTTGAAAATTAACCGACATTTACTCATTTGAAGTAAGTTTAAATAAAAATAAGCCAAAAATAGTGACATCTATACATGATTAAGTTATCTTTGATGCTATTTTCATTAGTTGACCAAGTTTTTAAAATTTATCAATCTCAAGTTTTCATTTATGACGAGAATTTAAATAAATTTATAATGTTGGATATTTAATTGTATTATTTAAATTGATGCAGATCTGATTTAAAACATAAAATATTGTCAATTAAACTGTATGCAAAGTAGAATTTAATCATAAAATATTTTTGAAAGTTGTAATGATTATTCATAAAATTGATAAGACTTCACAAATCTAATTATTATAGAATATATATTTAACTTTACAAAGTTAGAAACAGTTCCTTCTAAAATTATAGCCTAATGTAGATTCTATTACAATGATTATGACAATTGATGATAAATGATGGTGTAAATTTACATATAGATTTGTTTGATGGATGATATGAAAATAATTTACATTCAACTTGTGCAAAAAATAAGATTCAATAATGTATAAGGTATATGAAACAATATAATACTAACTAGTGCTATTCAAATAAAAAATGATTTTCTACCAAGTTACGAATATTTAATATTAATCATTTTACTGTGACCTAATATAATTTCAATCAAATGAATGTAATTGAAAGAAATTAAATAGTATTCGAATTTTGAAGAAACTTTTAATTCTGATGACTCGATGAAATAACTGGAATAATACAGCAATGTAAATGAATTTCCTTTTATCATGTCAGTTTCTCTATTTTAAGGTGCTAGATGATATTAATTACCTATCTCATACGTGTTCTTTCCACAGTTATTACTTTGCATATTGAGGAAAAGAGAATCTTGAATCAATTAGTTTCTCATTGTAATACAATGAATTGCATTTCTTCTCTAGAGTAAGGTAGAGTGGATCTTTTAAATTGATGGTTGCAGTTACTTTTCTGTTAAATATAATTCATATACACAGTACATAAAGATGTTTATATTATCATACAGTATGTCAACGTAATTACAGTAAATGTCTTACAACTAACTAATTAGCATTCATTGAAAAAAATATTTTACACACTCCACTATGCTTTATGATATTTATATGTATGTTATTAACATTAAATCAACTTTTTGTTATTTATAAAGAATGTGAAACGTAAAATTCACTTGGAAACATTTTCCCTATTATATAAAATGATTTGTCAAATTCTTCCAATTGGCTACAACAAAATGATTAATATATTTACACAGAGATTATTATAATGTATCAAATTAAACTGAAATTTTTTTCTTGCTTATTCATTCGTGTTACAATATTCTGGTTTTAATATGACAAATGATAAATCATTTTAAATGCTGTCTATATTATCATAAAGACTAACCCTGTTATTCAATACTGCAGTTTTCTGCTGATCAATCATTACTATATTTATTACCAACTTGTTAACTTATCATACGAACTTCAATCTACATGTATTTACATACTGAAAAATATTACTGGAATTAAAAAGAAAGAATAGTATTAATATTAGAAGAAAATAAATACAGTTATGGACATAGTTGTAAAATTATTTTAGACTGATCGAAATCAGCAAGGGGATACATTAAGATTATTCATGCTCAATTTGCATATTGCATTGCGTTATTTTATATCAATCGATAGAGAGTAAATGCTTAAAATTAAACTCGCGTTTCAGAAAGTATGCTAATAATAGAATTTGCATTGATGATAAATGTATAATAATGATACTGATATTATGGTATGAAAGGAGATTTACATGTAATAAAATAATCAATGAACAAGAACGAGCTAATGTTTAATTGAATAATAATGCAAATAATACAATGCTTAAAAACGGACAATAAAGTATTACAAATTTATCAACCATTTGTGACAGATAGAAAATTTCATTGATATTTATATATTTACTCTAAAATATCATCAATCAAGTATATTTTAAAAAAAGTTATTTTAAATGTTTATATTTTCATCATCTTGGTATTCTGGGGATTTTTTTTTTTGCATCTATGCACTCCAAGGGAACTAATAGCATATTCGAATAACGATAAATCTATTTTTTGTCTAACCAAGTTTGTCTCTGAACAATTTTGTTAAATGATGAAATATCTACTATGCCTGATATGAGTTTTTGTGCTTCCATAAATTCCAAATAATGTTTATATGATAATTTATATCTGTGTCTATTGATCACTAATTTATACGTAAAGTGAACACTTCTATAGATAACTAGAACCTTCACGCTATCACGCCTACCATTAGCAATCGTTCAACTGTCTCGTGACAAATTTTATCAAATATTCACTCATTAATTATGCATCTAATTAAAATATATTCTCATCTATTTAGACGTACTTCTTTACATTTTATCGAACATAAATGATCAATAATTTTTAGATATTTTAGAGTAAATAAAATTCTGAAGGGCAAAAATATTGAAGTTGCATTCAACTCACATAAAATTACAGTGTAAATTTCAGTACAAATGAATAGTTAAATTAAATTTTTATATTGAATGATTGAATTGCGTTTGCTATGATTAATAAAAGATCTTTAATTATATACCAAATATTATGTATACTTTATGATATATGTATATACACTTAACATTTTGTCACATAATTTCGACACAATATCTTTCTAAAATCATACAACATCCATTGTCACTCTCGATAACAATTAATGAATTACAATTTATTCAATTATTTACAAGTGATGATCATTTTATGCAGATCATCATAATCCATCTTATCACTTACTATATACAAAATATTCCTTAAATTAATTGAATTCCTTATTTACTTAATTTACTTTTAATTATTGATATTATATACAGAATATTCACGTAAATAACTTGTATTCTTTACTATACAAGTTACTTTCTTTAATCTATTAACATCCCGTACGAAAAAATTTCGTTCCCCAAAGGTACCCTGAATGATTTCCAGTGAAGAAGTTCCCCGACGGTCCCCTCGTAAGACTATGGGGAACGTTTGGGGAACAGAATTTTTTTTGTGCAAATTTTTATATAATGGAATAATGATATATTTGCGAAAAACTGTAAAATATGAAAATGTGCATAACTTCTATGCTAATGATGCTACGGGGGTGATTGAGGGCTCAAATGAAAGATCTAGACGAAAGGAAAAAAGTCAATATAGTTAAAATTATTTTTGGACCATAATTAATGCTAAAATTAAAGCAAGTTCCCGTTTTACCCCATTTTAGAAGTGAAATAATTGATTTTTTATATTTTTGACCTGATTCCGCATTTCTAGGCATTGAGACGAAGAGAATGAGTGGTCAAACTTGAAAATCGGACAACTTTGATTTTTCGACCCCAAAAAATGGCAAGTGGTACCCCTTTCCATTTTTTAAGGCCAAAAAATAAAAGTACTCCGATTTTTAAGATTGAGGGCTCATTCTCTTCGTCTTGATGCGTAGAAATGCGGAATCGGGGCACAGCCCGGAAAAATTCACTGTAACACCCTTAAAAACGGGTAACACTAGATACAAATTTGGAATAATCATCCCCTTGACTTTAAACCCCTATAACTCATGAACGGACGGTCCAATAACCGTTTTTACGGACGTTTTAGAAACTTTAGAATCTAAGCTAATGATACATATCCATGAAAAGCGTTTAAAAAATTTATTTCGACCTTAAAAACGGTAAAATATTTAAAAAAATCACATTTTTTTGGGAAGTTGCCAACTATTTTGGCAATTTTGAGAGTACCACTTGCCATTTTTTGGGGTCGAAAAATCAAAGTTGTCCGATTTTCAAGTTTGACCACTCATTCTCTTCGTCTCAATGAGTAGAAATGCGGAATCAGGTCAAAAATATAAAAAATTAATTTTTTCACTCCTAAAAGGGGGTAAAACGGGAACTTGCTTTAATTTTAGCATTAATTATGGTCCAAAAATAATTTGAACTATATTGACTTTTTTCCTTTCGTCGAGATCTTTCATTTGAGCCCTCAATCACCCCCGTAGCATCATTAGTATAGAAATTATACACATTTTCATATTTTACAGTTCTTCGCCAATATATCATTATTCCATTATATAAAAATTTGCAAGAAAAAAATTCTGTTCCCTAAACGTTCCCCATAGTCTCACTAGGGGAACATTCAGGGCACCTTTGGGGAACGAAATTATTTTGTACGAGCAGTCAAGCAATACTTTCTGTAAGATAATCGAACATAATTTCTATATTATTGATAATCACTTTCAACCATAAGCAACAATAACAAATAAATAAATTTTTCTTCCCCTATTCATAAATAAACATTCAAACAAGTACAATATTCAAAAATATAATATTGTTAAATAATAAATATCATGATCACAGATTGCAAACCATCTCAATTATAAATAAAACCTGAATAAAATAATAACAAAAATGAAATTCGACCTAGAAGATGATACAGTAGCACCACTTTTTGACGACATTGATTGTGCTGTTTTATCTGTTTTTATTCTTTCCTCATTACGATTTCTTCCACTTTTTGTCTCACTCTTTGGTCTTTCACGCAATTGTGCTCCTGAAATAAATATAAAAATTATTAATTATAATTTCCAACCAAAATCAAAGATACTTTCCTTGATTAGTTGATATGAATTCATGCTATTTACAAAGTCATGCAATACAAATGCAAATGAAAGCAGATTTAGGATCGTTTTAAATAATCAATTTAGTGTTGTGCAAACTTCATCAAAATGCCAAAGTTGTTAGACTACATGTGAGTAGATGGAGTTTGGAGACAGCTTATAATGTGTAGTGTAAATTTAGATTTTGTCCAGTAAACTAAAGTCTGTAATCTCTTGATTTCAATGAAATTCTCTGTAACTCATAAGTCGCGTTTCACAGACAGAAGGTAATTTAATTTTTAAGTTGTTACGTAGCTCCAATATGTACACAACACATCAGTTTATTCGTGCATTAAAGTTGAACAAATTATAAGTTAAGTAATTGTTTATACATACAAGTGAAATAAATATTCCTTTGTAAATAGTTACAAAGAGTTATATGATTAATTCAACTCTCTAATAAAATTGTTTTTTATTAAAAGTAAATTTTTATTGTTGTTTTGAGTAGTTTTTTTTTAACATCAATATTGATGATATAAACAATTACTACTAGCACTACTCTGCTATTGTTAAAAAATAAATAACAGAAGCAATTCAATTAGAAAATAATAAGACAATTAAATAGATACTTTTTTCACTCTCAGTCGACTTTGAAGCATCAATTATCTCATTAAAATTCGATTCCACTGTTGGAGATGTTTTCTGTCGATTCTTGGGTTTCTTCTCTACTGGAACTAATAATTTTGTGAATCAATTAGTTAATTAATTAGCAGACTATTGTTTACATTTAAAAAATAACCATTATTTACCTTTGACGACAACTGGCATTGGTGTAGTAGTTGTTGGTTTCGGTTGTGTTGTAGGCGGATCAACTCCTGTAAAATAGAATAATCTGGTCATTTCATTATGACAACCAACATTTAGGATGCTAATTCAATGAGTTTAGTGGTTATAATGGTTGATAGGTAAATTTCATCTGTGTCACATACTTTTGTATACGGAGAGAGGAGTTTACTAAAGTAAACTCTCTAAAACTTGGCTAACGTCGACAAGGACTTTGATATAGATCGTGAAACTTGCTACTCATCTATTTGTTGCTGAATTCGAAGTGAGAAACAGTGTCGCTTTCTCCAAAACCTTAACTATTCACAGAAACTGTTCATCTAACAAGTTCTATTTGAAAATGAATTTCCAAAGCGTTCAACCATAGACAACTTTCGATAGAAGAAATGTAATATGTATTAAGTATTGCTCTAAAGTAATTGAAAGTGGTAGAGAGAGAGAAAAAAAAACACTTTAATGAAAATTTATCGTTTGGTTTTAAAGTACAACTCATCAAGGATGGTAGAAACATTTAAAGTTTTTTTTTATGCTTTTATTTTTTCTATCTTAAAGTCAACTATCGGGATGCCCATCTGCGTTAAACTCGAACTCTTGGATACTCCTCGATCACGTCTTTCAACTTCACCCAAAGACGATTTATCTTTCTTCTCATCCCTTATGTTCACTCGGGAAATGGTAGAGCTTTCCTTATCGTCATTGACGAAAACTCAGCATCGTCTGATTTCGCATTGGATGCATTTTTCAACCGTTGATTCTGACAACAAAAGTTTTTTTTACTTTAGTAACTCACATTCTTTAGAAATCGCTTTGACAAACGAACGTGAAAGAAAAAACTTAAATCCTTGTGCATTTTCTTGCCCAAATCTTATCGACGATTTTTCTTAAGACAAAATGTTGACAGTTTAACGAATCGTATTTTAAATAACCAACGATAAAGAATTACAACAAAGGAATCACTGTGTGAACAAGATTTGATAAAATTCGTACCAAATTACAAGTTTAATTAGAAGTGATTTAATACAGTAAAGTCTTTACAATTACGATAGCTGGAGACAAGAGTGAAGAATACGTCACTCGCCTTGAGGTGTTACAGACGAACCAGCTGTTGCTATCTCAGAATTAGCTAAAAGTACTATAAACTTTATTAAATTTGGTGCAGAATTAATTTTGAACAACGACGCCGTAAACTTTCCTAATGATTTCCACTTTCATGCAATGTGAGTGCACTCATACGGAAATTGAAAAATGTCAGACAACCTTTTATTGGACCAAATCCAAATATTACAAAATTCTATTAACATTTATTTTTTAATTAATTGATTAATTACATTCATTTCATGCATACTCCTAAATTTATACATGAGACTCTCAAACTGTTAACTAGCATTATGAATTATTCAGAGCATTTATTCTGGTCACAAAATACGAAACTGTTTTCAAATTATTTTGTTACACTTGTTTGATCATTTTAATTATTTAAATTTGTCATGTTATGTTGCAACAATTGTATCAATATATTTCACTTAAATATTTTGAATTATCAGTTGCATCAAGGTAATAATACAATTAAAAATTATAATTTAAGTAACATAAAATTAATTATTAAACGCAAGATTTCACTTTCTCTCAAATAGATTAACAATAAATATTTAAAACTCTCTTTTGACATTTTAATTTAAAGTAATCATTTTTATTTCAAACTGTACTCCTTTTAATTTCACTAATTTTATCATAATTCATTTTTATAACAACAATTGAATACATCTTTGTAATTGAATTGTTTGAGCTAAAATGTCACTTAAAGGACACTTTTGGTTATTGCTACCAGGTAGCAGCATCTCTTGTTTCACATTTTTCATTGAATAACGGTTAAAATAAAATCGATATTTATTTCTATTAATTTCTTTATTATTTGTAATTTAATATTTCTGCGACCAATGCTTTTGACAGCACAACAATTGAAAATGATTGTAAAAATAATTATATGATATTATTCCAAAAAAGTTTCTGAAAAAATTCCACCCTTAGGACAGTGATTGGGAATTGAATACATTATTTGTGTATTTCCTTCAATGACAATTAATGATTTAGACGCTTATTAAGATGGAAAACGAAGCTATACAGACAGTATAGCTATTAAATTAAAAGCAGATATTCTATCGTCCTAATTTGATTAGTATAGACATTGAGTGCTTGGGAATATGGCTGAAGTGCAAACCCACTTCCTACTGAAATGATAGTTGAGGATCAACCACAACTTTTACTACTACTCTCTTTCCTCACATATATATATATACTAGTTGAAACTTTTGATAGGTTTTCGACTGATTCACATAGGAAGTTACATCCACATCGTCTCTAAGTGAAGACTCCATTTGAGAAAAGCAGCCTGGAGCACAAAAAGCGATCGCCTTACCTAGAGTAAAGATATAAAGGTCTTTGAAATCCGAAAATAACCCATTGGGTAATTTCACCTGAGCGAATGAGATTTTAAAACGGATTATTGGATACTTTCCAACTGGACGATAAAGAAACTGCGCAAAAAGTTTATTTACTTGGAAAGAATAAATATAAATTACTGGAATGTTTAGAGGTTAAAGAGATATGATTACAAATGAATAAAAGAATAAATTTGATATAAAATACTTACTGTATAGTTGGATGATTCCGTCAGTTGAGCCAAGTGAATTTTTTGAGACACATTTATATGTTCCATAGTCTGATTGATTAATTTTTTTTATTGTTAGCTTCATGTGAACTTTGTATTCATCCATATGCAGATTATCTGAGGATGAAAATTCGTATTTCTCACCTGGAAATATTCAAAGAAAAATATTGCGTTAATCCACTTTTATTATAACCAAAGAACAATAGAATTGTTTTAGAATATTCATTTTTACTAAGGATTGAGGTATTTTCTTGAAAAATGGCTACATTTAAGCTTCAAAAAGACGATGAATAAAATTTTTTAGTATAAGCTATATGTCCAATAATATTACACCATAAAATTGAGTAGATTTTATCAAACGTAAAATACAAAAATGGGAAAAGCAAAAAAAAAAATTCTCTCTCTCTCTTGAATCATGTTTGAATGCACAGTGTATGTTATATCATGTATCGAATCGATTTAGATTTGAGGAGAAAATTTTACCTTGTAAGAGACTCAATAGATTTTGAAATCGAAACGTGCACGAAATTCTTAAGCGTGTAATAATGTTATCATTTGACAAATATTCCAGAATAAAGATTTGGTCGCGTTGAAGCTTTCTAGAGAAATAGAGTAGTTTATTTTTGAACTTTTTTTTTAAGGCAAGTTCTACTGATAATCTTCAACAGAATTTATTTTTTACAACAATTTTGATGTATAATAGGTGGTATTTACTTTTCATTATAAAAAAATTATTAGTATAAGAAGAAATAGGAAATATTTTCATTCTTATTTTTTTTTTTTCTTTTCATGTTAGAATAGACAAGTATTGGGATTTGAATAAAAATTTTAATCTTAACTTTAAAATAAAAGAGGGAAAATATTGAAAACTTATACTCGACAAATAAGGTAATATTGATTTAGCTAACGTATGTAATGATTTGCAAAAATTGCAATTCAAAATAGAAGCTTTATTTAATACATGAATATTATTGAATAAATTTTAAGTATTATGAAAAAAGTTTTTAAAGATCTTTAGAATCGATAATGTATTTTTTATAAAGAATTTTTTATTTTCATTGAAATAAACGGACAACAATGTTTTTATTAGAGATAAATTTTTGAGAAAATAGTAACAAAATCCTCTTAAAAATTAATAATAGGAAATAAACTGTTGACTTGAAGGCATTCAAGGGCTCTTCATTCCAGAACATAACAATAGAAAAACATTTTAAGCTACGATGAGCATTACCCAAGAGCTAAAATCTCTTGTAGAAAAATAATGGAATATTTAATACATAAAAAAAGCTGTAGAAAATAACACTGGACGATTTAAAAAAAGGTTTGCTAGTAAACTTTATCGACATTCTAACCCACATAGGTGAAGCAAAAACGTAAAAATGCATATTTTAACCATTGTGAGGTTTTGTAAACCTGGAAGCTTGTTTTTGAATAATTTAACTGTCGTTTATTTAATAAAAAATTTTTCTAATAAATATTTATATATGCATCTATGATATTTATATAAATAAAATAAATAAATAAAAATATTTTTGTATGTATTTATTAATTGAAAAATAAAGTAACGTTAGAAACTTTATTACAAATATTAAAATGATAGTAAATAATTCAAAACCTTGTGGCTACAATTTTCAATATGTATAGATTTAATATTTTTTAAATTTCAATTAAATATATTCTTTTACTGTTGGCTATTATTTTCATTCAACTGTAAGTAATTGATTTTCATGTGGAGAAATAATAGAAAAGTTTTAGCCACATAATTCAGATGATAATTCAGTGGGTGGTGAATAAGAGACCGAAAAAAAACATGTTCGTTCGAGAAGAGAAGGTGAAAGAGTTTTCACGGAAAAATGCATTTATGGAGTGGCGGTTGAATTCTGGCGGGCGGAAGAAAAACTTTCATCGGCTTAGAGTTTGAAAAGGAGATGAAAAAGTTTAACAACGTTGAACTACGATCTAAGCATGGTCGCTGTCGTCGCATCAGGTTGACTACATTCTACGAAAATGCGACTGCTCTTCGAAAAGTCTTCGAAAGAAATTATACGTATCTTTTCAAGTAAGTTTTGGTTGCAACTTACAACTTCGTTATCATCTGATGTACTTATTCATTTTTTAATTTCAATACTTTTTCAATTTATTTCAGAAAAATTCACTGAGATTGGGTGTTTATTATTTTATTTCACAAACTCGAGAATTATTAGTATGTTGCTGCTTTCGATGTCGATTTTACAATTATGCTCTTGAATTATTAATGCATGTATATTCGATTAAAAGTCCATATATGATTGTGTTGATTTGTTAAAATTAAATAACTACGATAAATAAATATTTTCATAGCTCTCGGAATAAACTAAACACTGATTTAAAAAAGTTTGACGCAAATGGAGTATCGTTTCCCCAGTAGAAATTCACTCAGTTCCCCCTTGATTCTATAAAGGCACTGTCTAGACAGCCCATGAAAAATAATTTAACATGGTTATGATACGTAATAACATAACTTAACAAATGCCTATTGAACAATATTTTTCCAAAACAGAGTGATATTAAAACAACTAATAAAATAAAAATTATCATCATTTCTCTTCAGTTTGTTAATTTAATTCATACAGTACTCATTAAATTCTTGAAATATAATAGCAATGTAAATATAATGAATACCAAAACATTATTACAACCATAAGAAAATTCGAAAATAATTTATTTAATTAAATTAATAAATTTATAATTAAAATATAGTTCAAATTTTATGCATGTGAATGACTGCTATTTAGATTAATTTATTGTTAAATCAGAAAATGTTTTGCAAAATAATTATTCAAATGTGGTGAATTGCCAAAAAAATTTGTTGAAGTTAATAATTAAATACATTCCTCTTTTACCAATTGAAATGAAGGCAATTCCAAAGCCCTGGACAGTCCCTCGACAAAATTTCTGCCAGGGTAATTTTCTAGAGCCAATCTGGTTTCGATTTTAAATCATCCCGAGTTTAAAAAGACTTTTATATCATCGCAGTGATATTGCACAGAGATCCTTATCTTTTATAGTATCCATATAATATTTATCTTTCAACCATCTAAACATCAGGGTATTTGTTTATGTATAATACTGTAGCTTAGAGGGTTGACAACGTCTCAGGTATTTACCCGATAGCATAACAACACATCGTCCATGTACTATAATTAAATGTTGGTGGTTATTGAGAACGTTCTTGTAACAACACACCGATCTCCAGTGTGTTAAAAAGTTTGAGTAAAACAATTTCTTTTATGGCCAAATACTAAAATTACATTCTTTTATAGAGTTTGTTTGCAACTTTCTCCATTAAATAGTGAAAATTTCTGAATAGAAATCATCACGAACATGTATTGTATGTAACGGTTTCGTAGCTATTTTCTTCACCAGTGTAAAACATATTATGCGTAATTTTCTTCACAAAGAGATAATGCATTAACTCAACTCTATACAGTACAATTTTGTAAGGAAAAAATTAATTATTTTACTAACTTGGGAAATTGAATACTAAATTTTCAAAGTTAAACAATAAAAAATTATAGAGCTCGGTTTATTATTCTCATTCTTTCACTTGATTAATTCAAACTAATTTAATTTAAAAATTAATTGTACAAATACTGAGATTACAAGGCATTATAATTAATTTTTTTTATCATTATTAGGTGAAAAAAAAAAATGATTATCATAATTTAACCTCATAAGTGTAAATGAAAAATATGGATAGTAAGAAATTTTAATAAATAGAAAAAAAAAAAAATGAAGAACAATTGTATTCTTGCTGAAAAAATGATCCCTTTACTTATCTCCAGGCTCGAGTTAATGTGATACTTTGTCACTTTTTTATTTAGAAATATATTTATAAAAGATATCATTATTTCCAGAAGAATGCTTCATACACCAATTTTATTTCTTTCGTTAAAACAAGTCTTTTTAGTCTTAATAAAAGAATTATTTAATCGTATTGTAGTACATGTTGGACTCACTGGATATAATCCATATCTACGATGAATTTTCTTTGAAAAAGAGTATGAGTTTTGAGGAACAAAAACTTGACCCGTAATTCTTGTGTTGTTCAGTTATACTCAGACCTCAGAAAAGAGACCACGATTCTAGGCACCGGGCACATGCGCCCGACAGGCGTCACAGCAAGTCGAGTTTTTTCATCATCAAAATGAAATTAACGTTTCGCACTGGATTATTTCTACATTCGTACTTTGATAAGGCATAAATACGTAACTCAGTGGAATACCTTTTTTTTCATTTTTTTTTAATCATTATAAATTACGATAATTTAAAAGAAAAATAAACATCGACAGCTGGAAGGAAGAAATGCATATTTAATAGAGATTAAGTATTAATTACATTACTAGCGATTTTCATCAATTTCTTACTTGTGATATTCTTGTAACCCAATTTACTCAATGTGAAAGTTCTTTATTTTTAATCAGGCTATTTAGCTAACATTATTTTTCTTATTTTCCCAGCAAAATAATTTTTTACATCCTAGTAAAATATTGGTATCATATATTCAAACTGTCTAGAGACATCGAATATGTTATTGGAATTTTCTTAAAAATATTTACTATCGAGATCAATAAAAATCACCCAAATAAAAATGATTAATTTTTAGACACACCCAAAAGAGGTCGGATTTAAACGCAAATTATTTTTCAGGCCCAGAAGACACTGTTTTGGGTACTGAAAATATTCTTAAGTTCAGATTAGCTGTATTGGGATTTTTCTTTATTTTTGGTGTGTTTTGAATCACTTTCAAGTCTATTTAGTTTTACTCAGGTGCATCAAGTAACATTTCAATGACAAAATATTATTGGAAGTCAGCTGGATCAGCAGAACATTGATCTGTTAATCCTTAATCTCTATTGTATCAAGCATTGCGTTTAGATTACGTTTAATTAACCATGAAAATATCTACATATAGAAACGCTCATGTTGATTAAAGCCCTCTGCTAAATAGTACATCAGACAAGTTAGAACATCTAGATATTTGGATAAAATCAATACTGAATGCAAATTAATGAGGAAATTAAAGGACATATTTACCATTAGAAATAGTTTCGTTTCCTATTGTTGTCCAGTAATTAATTGCTTTTGGGAATGCTTCAGAGTAACAGTCTAATGTCTTATCTTGTCCTATGTATGCTTCCACCAGTTGATTTTGAACCATTATCATCGGTGGAACTGAAAAATTGAAATAGATTAGACCAAGGTGGTTGAACAATAATTTTACTTCTGTTTTATATCGACCGGAAATCCAAGACAAATACCCAAGGGACGTCGAGACGAATGAGCAGATAAAAAGGTTGACAGCATTTGGCATGAGAGGGAAAAAGAGTAAGAAATTGATCTATAAATACAAATAGTGGAATGGGTTTTGTCGTCAATGTCTCAAGAGAGTCGTTATACGTTTCTTTACACTCCTTCAATCGCTGTGAATTTTCAAACATTCGTAACTGGCTTTTTTATTCCAACTTACTCACCACTAGTGGCCAAAACTGACAATTAGAGTTTGTTTTTTTTTCGGAATGATAAACTGATGGGTTAAAACAGAACGTCAATACATGCCATACTCACAATGAACGATGAGCATTATCCTCTTGCTGACAGTCGGTGGTACTCCGTTCGATGCTATACACAAATACGCTCCCATGTGCAGACGGTTCACTTTTATTATGGTCAGAGATGATCCATTAATACTCGATACTGTAAAAAATCATTTCCATATTATCAAATAAAATTTGTTATAAAATGTTTAATATAAATAATACATTATGCTGTTATATTTTGAATTTTCATTATGTTAATAAATATTTAATCTCTCAAAAATTTAAATAAAAATAATTAATAATCTTTTCCATTGAACTATAATTAATTCAATGTAGAAATAATTTTATTTTCAATACATGTTTATATGCATTGGAATAAATTAATTCTTCAATGTGGCTTTAATTTGAAAAATATTAAATAACAGGTTTAATTACATATTTTTAATTAGCAAGACTTTTTGAATTTGTAAATAATGGTCATGAATTTATCATTAAATTTCTGTCAGAGAGAAATTTGTAGTGACAGTTTAATTAACATCACACAATTTCCTGATGCTCCTAAGATAGTAATTAATACAAACTGCGACAGTAAGCTAGTGTACTTATAGTTAATGATTGCATTATCTATGTACATATTTTCTAATTTCAATAAATTAAAAAAAATTTGCATCCCATTATAATAAAATGCACTTCAAAATCTTTTAAATTTTCCTATCGATTTTCTGAAACTCTACGTAAACATAAATTGCAGTGGACATCATCGTCTATGAACGTGTCAGAAGGAGTGTACTTGTACATCATCAGAACATAAAATTTATAGTGATAAAATATAATATATATATATTTTCAGTGGAATATTTAATATTAATTGTAAAAGAATGATAATCTTTGATGACACCTAATATTACATTTGAAATGATTCAATTTTTTCACTCAACACTGTTCCCAATCAATCTTATTCACTTCCTTAATGAAATAATTAAAATTAAATCAACACTCTCGTGTAGGAATTTACTTTGGTGTGTATATAAATAAATCATTACCGAAATCAACTAAGAAGAAGCATAGAGGGATTTTTTGTACCATTGATTATACAGAAGCATTTAATTTCCAACCACTTGGTGGGAATTTGAAGCAAAAACTATTCAATTCAGGTTTTCGTAGCCCAGAGTTCACAATAATTGTAATAATGTACTAAATCAAGTGCAAGAAAGTTTGTTGGAGGAAAAAAAAGGACATTTATCTAGCAGGATATGAAAAAACTTTTAGGAATGTATGAAGAAAGTGTGAACTTTATTGTGAAAGACATTGGAGGGTTCGAGCAGCAGTCACGGACCTTCCGGTCACATATTGCGTGAGCATGTAATCACTTTGATGAATCATGAGGCATCTAATGCTACCTGATCTCAAGCAGTTTACCCCCAGCGTGATAATTGAGTTGAGCTCTATAGCGTGTTTAACTACAATGAAGGTTTCCAACAGAGCTCTTATCCTGTTGTTGATTAAATCGCTTTGTTGTCACCTTTTTAACACAAAAAAATTTCTCTTTAATCAAACTGTCTATCACTGTAGTGATCAATGAAAATTTTTTTATTTATTTCTCTTAGTTTCTTCAAGTTTACAACAAAATAGTCGACTGTTTATTTTTAATTAAATGTATAATGAATAATTATTTTCATCTCATGGGATTTTCTTCTAAATTTGTCGTCACAACACGTGCATTTTCTGAGTCGCAAAACACGTTAATCATGCAGTGTCCTGTGTCTGGCTAGTAACGATGTATACGGTTTCCCAAATAACCACAAACAGACCTCATTCTCTCTTGTTAGAGGGTATTTCTCCCATGGGGTTGTTCGGAGACATATTCCAGTATACTTGTTTGTCGTTTGCAGAAAACTATTTATTAAAATAGAACAAATTTCAATTCTCTAGAGTTTAACAACTTTGCTATTATACTGCTGTATTGTTATACGTTACTAGATACAAGATGTTCAGTCGAGAACTCATACATGTGTTTTATGAGTATAGTTTGAAGAACAGAAAAGCTGCATGGAGATCTTTTTATTCATGTGGAGAGCTCGATAAAAATAACGATTTTAAAAATAACGTCATAAAAAATGATACAATATTACATGTGGAGGAGAAAAAAATTAAATAATTGATTTTCTTGAGGCTTTCATAAAACTTTTAAATCACAGAAAATATGACTTATACGTAATAGAAAAATCTTTCAACAGTGCAATAAAAAAGGAACAAAAAAAAACCATTCTTTAGTGCAGTTTCACGTATTTCATTGAAATTTCTCATATTTTCATCCGAATTGAAAGATATCCTCTCTGCTGTGATCGAATTTCTCGTTTTTTTTTTTTGTTTAGTGAAAATTGATCTAAAATAATAAAATACTAGTGGATAAACACTTTTTAATTAAAATTAATAATAACTTTCAACCCAATAGGTTTGTTGATTTTTTTTTCTCCAATATATTGAATGATGATATTTTAATTGCTTTCTCCATCGGTCGTAATACAGTCGCGTATAAACACTGAATTGGCTTTTCTCTGTGCAATGCTATGGAATACGCACAGTCTCATGGGGATTAACATTGAGTGACTGAATAGACCAACTGATAGCATGACAACAGAACTAGGGGTTAGAGTATCATCATAGTCTCTTTAGGGAAGAGTGTCTTTTGTTTGATATAAAACAAGACTAACTATTGCTCGTCGGTTCGATGACTTTAGAGTAGCTCTTAAGCAACAAGTCGTAGTAGTTGTATGTTCTATGAAGCAAAAGGTAATCTAGATAGGCCCAACTGCACAACAAAGTTTGAGGAAAGCTTGAAAATTGAATGGTTGTAATGAAAGGACTTATACTAAATCGATTTACAGTATGAGACAGTCCAATATTCACCGCACAATTCGCGTAAATTTGTACACTGTTTGCTAAGCGAACTTCCTGCAGAAATCGCACTTCTCTTGGCTATCTTCAAGTTTCTAGTGATAATGTATTATTTTAATTACAGCCTCAACTAAGTTACATTCATGCTAAAACCAATTTTCATATTCCGTAGATTATTACTCACCGACTAAACTCATCGAAAAGTTTCGCCAAATTAAAAGAAGAAATTGAAGAATAAAAAAAGGAGATATTTTCTTTACCTTCACCGTTCGTGCCAAATGGGATAAGTTCGCCGGATTCACGTTTCCAAGTGATGTTCGGCTCTGGTGATCCCTTTGCAGCACAACGTAATGTCACGTTGCTATTTTCTCTTACCACCATGTCCGTGCTTGTTGGATAATCGAGGATATCAGGAGGAACTGTAATGTACATAAATACTTGCAGCTTAAATTGCGTTCGTACATTTACTTTAATGAGGGTAATATAAAAAGTCGTAGTTTTTAATTTAACTGTTATTTAATAACTGTTTATTAATTAATAAAGTGTTAACACATGTGTGGTGATCCAATTAGTGATGGTAATTAAAGGAAAGTCAGTTTTATTTATTATATTGCTACGAGTAGTTTATCAAATAGAATAAGATGGAAAAGTATGATATATCCTTGTAATTCTTCATTCTTGCTGAGCATTAAGATAACAAATTCAATTAACTTTATGAGTAATGAATTGTAATTTCAACTTTTTTGTTGTTTTATTATTTTATTTTGTTAAATTATTTGTAGTTTTAGAGATATGATTTTACATCAACCGGATATTTAATATTATTTCTAAAAAACTTGGTGTCATACTGCCGGAATACATACATAAAAAACCATATTAGATATTTCATTTCTGTCCTTGAGAAGAAAAAAAGAGAAAAAAGGTTTATACCTTTGTAGCTTGAATTCAATTTACCCCAGATTTAAGTTCGATGTACCTTTGGCTAGAGAAAAATTTAACTTCTTTTTTACTCTGAACATTTATACTTATTTTCATTTGAAAATCCTGATACTCATGATTGATTTATAGTTTTTTCTTAAGCTACTGAATGGCATGAAATAAATCATAATGTAAAAAATTTCAGATTTGAATGAACAATTAAGTGTATTGATTTTTGAGAATTAAATTACTGAATAGCAATGAACAATATTTTCATATTAATTTAAATATCAATAATATAACTGTTGATTATAGTAAATCTATGTTTGAATTTATTTCCAAATGTTTCCAACTAGTTTATTACCTTTCCCTGGGTTAATTGTTTGAATAACCTCTTTATTGTACATTCATTGAAATATGACAGCTCGTTTACATTTTTATCAATTACTTTTTTATGTATTCTAACAAAAGTTCATATAACAGACACTTTGACACTTTGATTGTTAATTTATTTGATATCCAGTCATCACTCATTTACTTTTCATTTTATACATTAAACTTTTTTGTGCAAATTTCAGCAGCATCATCGATCCATCATAGTTCCATTGCTTTTTAATTGTATAGTAGCAAAATAAATGTCAAGATAATTATATTTTAATTCTGCTCAGTATAAAAAAACCCCTTTTTTCATCCAACATATTGATAAAAGATAGCAATCAATTTTTTTATGAAGTAAAAATGATATTAAATCATACATACCAACAACTTTAAGGTGGCCTACTTGACTGATCATTGGATCTGTATTTATCTGACACATATAATCTCCTTGATCGCTTTCACGAACGTCTCGTATGTGTAAATACCATATCCTATGATCACTATGTGATACAACAATCCTGTGGTTCTTCGTGATCACATGAACTGCAATTGTGAGTATCGTTTGGGTATTGACTTGGAGCCAAGCTACCTGTAAACACAAAGAGATGGCTGATTGTGAGGTATTCCAATTAGAAATAATAGTTGACAAATCGTTAATCATTAACGTTAATTTGTAAGCCGATGATTGAGATGTATCACGACTGATGGTGACACGAATTCAATAACTCTATTTGATGTTCGTTGTTGGATAACTTGACATTAACGCACCAACATAATAACGTAGTGGCATTTATAATAAAACATCTGTCTACACTATGGTATTATTCACAGAAATTACTTTACTCGAAACCAATGTTACATTGTTACTGAATCTAAATGGAATCAACGTGAAGCTTAAGTTATTGTTCAGCTACAGCATCTGTTAGCAAGGATTCTCTAACTATTCATTACTACAAAAATCCATTCAATTTTTTCAATACTTTAGTAGATGAATATGAAAATTTTTTTATCATATTAAGTGATTATTTTTTAAATTAAAATAATATAATTTATAAATATTGATTGATGGATTTTCTTTTGAAAATTGCTGAGCATGAACTTGGAGAAAATTAATTTTTTTTTATTTTTCAATGGAGGTGCATTGAAAAAAAAAAGAATAACAAGAAAGTGTCCTTTTATTGCATCTTTATTTTATTTCTTTTCAGAAGTATGCTCTTTTAAATTCTATTACTGGGAAAAAAGCTTATTGACTTGGTAAATTATAATAAAAACGACTTTGAGTGAAAAGCTTAAACATTACCTTCATATCTCCAATGTTGCATAAGATTTCGTTAAAAGCATCTGTCGTAAAAAATTTTTTATGCTATTCTATATGATATAACTTATCATATGCTTCTTTTCGCTCTCAAATATTTCTCATACTCTTTGAGTAATAAAAAAACAATAAATTGCAACATCACGTACTTAAACTCATAAATCTTTACATTTCACCTTAGCATCATTATTTTGTTGAACATATGAAGGCGGAAATTTAAAAGAGGGAAAATGAAGGTAATTCTACGTAATTCTATCATACTTTTTTTTTTCTTACTGAATACTTTTTTAGATACTTTTATTCTGATCTAAAAATGTATGATTAACACCAATACTTGTGCATCTATATACAAAACCGCACTGTCAGAGAAAAACGGAAATTTAATCAACTTTCTGTCTTCATACACAAAAAAAACTACAATTCTTTTTCAATAAAATACTAGTGTATATAAAATAAAAAAACCAGGAAATTGAAAAAAAAAATTCTGCTCGTCTTAAATTCAATATTTTACTTTTTATTGAGGAAAGTTTTTAAAGACTTATTTATTCAGTTTTTGAACTCGATTTTTAATTCATCGTTCCTGAGCATCTACTCTTTAAAACCATGCATTTTTTTTATCCTTTCAAACACCAAAATAAACTGATTTATTTTCGACGAGTTTATCGACGAAAATTCAACCGATTTAATCTCCTTAAAATAGTTGGATAGAAACTGAATACCATTGGAGTAAGCATTTGAGTTTTTCTTGAAAAAAAATACCAAAAAAAAGCTGGGGAATGAATTTCATATGATTGGAAAATTAATAACAAACTTTGCAATACAAAGTAATCATAAGAGCAACACAACGATGGATGTCTTGCGTTAAAATCAACAGTAAAGGTAACGCTATTGTTCTGTAAATTACAGCTGGAGTTTACTTTACTGCTCTTCTAAGTCATTTTCAAAATTTCTCAAGTGTACAAAGCAACTAATACCAGAAGAGACATAACTTGATTCGGGCTCAATCACCTGGTATTCGGAGTCGGTGAAATGTTGAATTCATGAGAGAGAGAACAATTGTCACTTCTATTTTTGTTTTATCTCAGTACTTATATCTCTATTCACTTCGCCAAGTTGAAATGAACAGTTCGATAATTTTCATTGCTGTACTACTATTGAAATACAAAAGACGAAAATTCTGTCATGAAACAAATAAATTATATTTTATTTAATGCCCATCATGGATGATTGCATCACCAAATTGATACTAGGGTTGCAAAAAAATATCAATACCTGAATTGAAATTTACATCTCCACATATCACGTGATATAATATCATGAGTATATTCTCGTAAAGTTTTTCTCTTGGAACATCTTGCAGAGGAATATTATGACTGTGGTATTTAGATGTGTCACCTCTGCAAAGTAGTTCCAACATGATATTATTTTTCACATATGAAAAATATTTTCACCAGAGTTCATCTTCAGACTTTTTTTTTCATTTCAACAACTTCAGTCTACAAGTTTTTTTTATTCTGTAGATTTTTAGGAGTCTATCATCACCAATGTTTAAAGAAATAATATCAATTTATTTTTAATTTTTCAAAATAAATATTATGGTAAATAAGTCATATAAAATAATATTAACCATTAATCATCTTTTTGATATTATTCAGAGATCAGTGGGTCGATTCTATTAAGAGGATTTGGATTATGAGACACGAATTATCATCGTAATTCTGAGGTACTTTTGATGATACCTGTCATAGCGTTATTCAAACCCATTGGATTCATTCCTCTGGATTGATTTGATTGTTCAATAATATGATTGGTAGTCAAACCATTGTCAGACGTTTAATCATTTTAATTTATTTTTAATAACTTTTTGTAAACATCTCATAAACTAAATGGAATAGTTAATTAATTATTAAAGTGATCTTCTATATAGAAACCCAAACTGTTTGAAGAATTAGCTCACTTAATGATGATGAAACTTCTCATAAAAAGATTGTACATCCTTGTAAAGGAAAGATTAAAAAATAATTTTTTATTAAAAGAGATTAAACGCTCACTAGATATGACTACACGTATGGCACTTTTTGTTGGAAATAAAAGGTAGCTATTTTTTTTTTTTATTTAAGTGATCATAGTCTAACAGGAGACAGGTTGAGATAAAAATCTCTAGCCAATCCAGAAGAGAAATTAAAAAACAAAGAAAAATAAATCGAAATCTGCTGATATAAAAGGAAAGATGAGTTCTTTTTATTTTTGACTGAAGAAAGAAGACGAAAAATGAGCAAAGAAAATTTATAACGAAACATTTATTGTATAAAGAAAAGAAGATACTGTACTGTAAGTAGAATCTTTTCCTTCCTTAAAAAAAAAGTATTCATTTGTAACTCGGTTTTGTTACAAAGGTGAGTGTTATTGTTAGATTTATTACGAGTATTACAATAGTGTCACTAGACTTAATGTTCCTAGATTCACATCTGACCATTTTTCGTTTACGATTGTTGGTAGAAAAATACAGTCATTACTGTAAAAACGTATCAACGGAAGGTATCTTATCAAAAGTGAACTAGAAATATTGGTCGTATGAATTAATTTGAGAATAATATTGAATTTTTAGAATGTTGAGTATTATGAGGTAAACACAAGTCATTGATACAATGATGACAGCATTAGAGATTGCACTGTAAATCTCAGTTTTCCAAAATGCATTATTTTAATGCGAATAAGTGTGTTAAATATGACGTCACCTATTTGATTAACATTGTAGTCACTTTTTACACACTTAGATCTACATTAAAAGTGACTACAATATTAATCAAATGGATGACGTCATATTTAACACACTTATTCGCATTAAAATAATGCATTTTGGAAAACTGAGATTTACAGTGTGAAATTTGTAGAGTATTAAATAAAAAAATAAAATCAAAAGCAGTTCTAGATGTTTCACTATTTTATTACCAACCGAATAGTGTTCGATATTGTAAAAAAATTGATACATAACAATGGAAAATTTGTTGAAAATACATTGAATTATTTTATTTGTACATATACTAAGCCAAAAAATTTCCGGGATCTATTAAACGAGTGAAAATAATGTTTGCATGACCTATTTTACTATATCAAACGGATGTTTAAAGCTAGTAAAGTGAGCCAGAAAAAAGAATTAGAAAGAAAGACTTGAAAAATACTAAGAGTTGGCAGCTTAATTTTTAACTTTGGCTCGGGATTGTATAAACTTCAGTCTTACTCGAAAGATCGCTTATATATATGAACCAACATCACCTACATGACTCTTAAGGCTCAAAAGTCACTGGGGCTATATTCAACAAAAGTCTTTATAATAGGACTTGCCGTCAGTTTTCTCAGCACAACAAATTATAAATGCAGAAATGTGTATGCTGTTGATGTATGTATTGTTCAATATAAATTCAAGGACTCTCTTGAGTAAATTACAAATCAACTTCACTGGTTGAAGACATAATTTTATCAAGACATTGAGGTAATTGGGTTCTTCAGTAAATCAAATGAAGATATTGAAAGTAAGTATGTTTATATAGAACATCAACTTTTCTCTCTGAACATTTGAATTTTTTGTTTATTTTATTTCCTCCTGCAAGTGGAGTTGAAGGGTCATGAGTTTTTAGCTTAAATAATATCTCGAGATCTCATAATAAAACGGTTTGAAGTGACTTTTATATGCCAGAATTTCCTGTTGAGAAGATCGCCTTTTAGTTTAAACGATCATAATCGTTTACTCACAACGGTGTCTTCGTCTCAATGATATTGCCATTTGAATATATCATCAGATGCTATCATATTTGGTTGAAATACCTTCCGAGGCGTAGGGTCTTATACAGGACCTTTTATATATAAAAATTCAACAGATTATTCTGCAAAATAAACGTACTTACCTTATGATATTCGAAAAACTTTCTTTATCTGGATTATAGATATATATATATTGACATGAGCTTCGTATTTTTATTTTTTATTAAAACTTGAATAAAAATTTTTCTACATAATATTATGCTTCGAAATTCTATTTCAAATATTCAATACTCAAAGTGCTACATTTCCCATGATATTTCCCATCTACATTTTTTGTATAGATATTTTTTTTTAATTTTCAAAAGAATTTTTTGTTAAAAAAATTCGGTAATAAATTACGTCAAACTTATACTAAATAAATCAATACATCAAAAATCAAAGGAAGTATGTGCATTTTTGTTGTTATTTTATACAGAATAAATGAAATTTTTTCATTTTTTAAACTAAAAGCCTCTAATAAATATAAATTTTTTATTTCAGTTTTATCATGCTGTATGCAGTTAAAAAATGTATGTAAAAATAAATAGATTATTAAATATTGAAACAAAGTCTAAAGAATTTATTAAAATGAAGACATTCTTTTTTCTATTTTTTAATTGAGACTTCAATTTCATAGAACTTTAATTATAATAGCAAAAAAAAAAGAGCAACTAAATTTCAAATAATGCTGTGTAAATATTTGATCAGAGGCTTTCCATATATTACTTTGATAAGTTAGTTAAACAGTATATCTTTAGGAGTTATTTGAAAATAATCTCACTTAAAATACGGCCTTTGTGTGTTAATTAAAAATAAAAAGAGCACAATAGTATAACCATCGAACAACAATTTGTTGATTTTTTAATGAAGAAAAGAAAACTACAGCTGTAAATACATGTTGATATTGTGAGCAAGTAAATTAGCAAATTCTAGACAGGACGTAGCTGAGTAAATAATTAAACTCAATAAAACTAGAGTTTTTCGAATTTAATGAAATATTTTTATTTATTCGAAATATAGGTCAAGTGAAAATGCCTCTTTCATGATTCGTTCATGCATTTAAAAGATCATTATGGTAATTCAAGGTTCATTTTGGTCAATATAAAGTAATTAAAGATTATTGCGAATAAATAAACGCTCTAAAATGTGGGTCAAACTAGAAAGCTCTTAAATTTGAGTAAACTAAAGAGTAAATCACTTCTTATTCAAGTAGAAGATAAATGAAAACTTTGAGGTAGTCTTGATGGGGATGATGCATATTCAGTGGAGAAACTAAGTAGCAGAATAGATTCCAATTGTAACATGAAAAATTATTGTTATATAATTAATTAACTCATCGTACACATTGAGTAGTACTATACGCGTGAATATACTAACAAAACAGATGTATAGATAGTTGCCTCATACGGTGCTTGCAAGTTCCCTCAGGGCCGTTATCTTCCACTCTCGGCGCATCTGCTTGACTACCGGATAATACGCGGCGGGTATGTAAATCCCATTCTGATTAACATCCACGTATCACCAGCAACACCACTACCAATATCACAAATATACCGTAGCAACACAACATATTCTGTACTCTAAGCTCTATCTACATTTAGGCTAAAATCACCGTTGACTCCACGATTTGGATGTCATAGTACCAATATATATGTATTATGGACCATAACTACATCTATTCAACTATTTATATCCCGCAGTCATTGCCAATGATTTATTATGTGTAGTAGAATACCAACTGTAAATATTCTTTCTTTTAGCAACTTTATCGGGAGAAAAAAAAAACGAAATTAATCTACGAAATATGTCCAGTCATTTTTTATTTCGATGCAAATTTACCAAGTCTAAAATTATTCAAGCATGATTAATTGACTTTGTGCACACAAAGCGAATTTTTCTCACAGAGACTGTTATAAAACATGACGGATATAAAATCAATGATGTTCTGTCCTATATAAACAGTTAACAGAATACATTACAGTAGCATTTATTCTACTTTTAACATTAACTTGAACCACTGCTATTATTTTTCAAATAGAGATATGCTAATTTTTATTCTTATGTAAACTTCGATTTAAAAAAAATTACTTGATATACTACAATTAGAGTTGAGCAATAAAATTGCAATATGATTTCTCTTTTTTTTTATTCTACTTCTAAGAAGTAGATAAGAGCTGCAACTTGAATTATATGGTAATAATTTTCAGTTAAATTTACGATTAAAATGAAATTGGTTCTTGTTTTTCTAAAAATAACTTATAAAAGTCTTTGTTGACCTAGTATGGTAAATTAATAAAGTAATAAACTCATTTATTAAATTCAAGTTCGTAATGGGATTGCAGGTTGAAGGAAGTGGAGATTTTTCTTTATTTTTGGGACAATATCGTTTGGTATTTTTTTTAATGTCTGTGAAAAGATTCAAGTCAACTTTACTGCTGTGTTTCACTTTCGATCTAAATCGAAAAGTCGTAAGAAGACAATAGTTACAAGTTCGTCCAAATATTTATCGAGTTCTAACTGAAGAAATCTCAATGCATTGTAAAGGTTCAACGACTTATAGACTTTTAGTCTTACAGAGTATATATTACTTATAAATGTTTTAACTATAACAAACTGTCAACTTTACATGGAAAGTCGATAAACTTTACACAATCGAATAAACTACGTGAATTTCACATTGGTTAAAAGAAATTGAAAGAATTTTATGGACTGGCACTTACAAGTTTTTCTAATTTCTACTTCTAGTGACCATACAATATCTGCTACATATTTATAGTGACAAATTTATTGAGGAAATAAATTTCTCGAATATTGAAGCCAATAATAGTTCCTTCAGTAAAGTTTACAGTCCATAGAGAGATTTGAATAATAAAATCTAGCAAAACTTTAGAAAATCTATAAAAATTCATTAATTTTATTTCAAAGTGAATACATTTTTTAACTTCTACAAATAAGTGTTAATAACTTTATAAAAATATAATTGAATAACTACTTACAGCTTTGAAATAATTGTAGATACTCTAGAAATTTTATAACTACTTGTTAAATTTGTACTTATTGAAAAATCTTTTCAAAGATAAACAAAAAAAAAAAAATATTCTTTATATTTAGCATTTAATTATAACTTTTTTGTTCTGAAATGTTTCGAATGAAAAAAAACGAGGTTCGTGGCTCAACTTAAAGTACCCAGGCATGTCTTGATCAGTAGCCGGATAATAGTTGGGCTTAAACTGCTCACTTAACTCAAGCTATACGGCCTCTGCCATTGCTTCTTGTCCTTCTATTCCTGCAATATGCTATCCCTGTAAGCTCTCTGTCGACTATCGCAACTTGCAAGAACATCAACTAGTAACTCTCTAAGTGTTCTTAACATCTAATGTGAAACTTGCAACTATGAAGAAACTCATCTACTTGGTGTTCTCGCAGAGTATTCAGTACACATAACGTTGGAAAATTATGGCGAGAAAAGTATTAAACCTATAGAATAAATCGTAAAAATGTTTATGTATGTCTCTTTACTTTTTTATAACTTCAATAATATCTTTATACATCAAATCAAACTGTGATATTCTTTTTATTATTTTCATGTGATTTAACATTTATTTATATCATTGTTAAACAAAATTGGTCATTTCATTTTAGATGTTAAGTTATATTTGCAATGAAAAATATTTGTTTAATAGTTGAATGAAAAGTATTAAATTTCGTTATGTTATAAATATTACCTTATAAGTCGAAAGGTTATCAACAACACAAGCAAGTGTTGCTTCTCTTCCCACTGGAACTGTCACGTTTGCTATTGGCAGGACAAAGGTCGGTCCTTCTGAAACAAATTGGTGTCAAGAACTATACAGATTGCTTCAACTGGTCTACTTGATATCGTTGAAAGAGTTTAGGATCACTTTAATGAACTTTGCTAATATTACAAACTTATATTACATGCCATTGGACTTTTACATGTCAACATTTAATAACAATTTACACGAAAAAATGAGATAAATAATAACAGTCAAGAAGTAAAGTTTAAATATATACTTAATTTAAAATTTGTTTATGTAAAATTTATAATTTTTTTAAAAGACAATGAATAATTATAATGACAAGACGAAGGATAATGTGTTCTATGCATTAGTCTATTCGCTGTTGCACTTATTTTCTTCAATCTCAATAAATCTTGAGAGTTTTTTCTCAAAGTTTTTTGTCTTTTCCATTCTATCTAAAAGTTTATTGGTTAATTTATCTAGGTGACATTGAACTTAGTTGAAAATTTTCTCTGCTATTTACCTACACAATTTTCAAGTAATTTCCAATGTCTTGGTCTTTATCAATTATACTCATGGAAATATTTCTCACAAAATATATTACTGAAAAAGAAATTCTTTCTCAAAGAAAAATCTCATTACCTTATTTTATACACCAAGAGAAAAGAAGTATCTAGTAACTGATGTGCGAACTTATTGAGCTTGGACTTAAGTCTAGTATTCATAAGGCCTTAAGTATCAAAGTGGTAGAGAAGTGAAAAGGATATTGAGTGCACGCGACCGATAAGCACTGATCCCAATTACATGTTAGGGAACAGTTTCCAAACTCAGAGGATCACGGATTACGAACCCTGTTCGTGTTATTTAGCACCACATAATATGAAAAGTCGATACACTTCCAAGATACCTGCAGTGACCATTCTCCATAATTTCAAGAGGACATTAGGAGCTGTTTACAGCTAAAGGAATTCGAATGCCATTCGATTGAATTTCAGTTAGAGTATTGAGTCGATACGAAGCTAATAATTGAATCCTAAAAGTTTATACTTAATTCCAAAAAGAGCAGGAAAATAATTAGGTTGACAGCAACAAAAATTCTATCACAATTATACAAAATTTGTAAATGTTGAAATAATTAAATTATTGAAAAAAATTTAATTAAAAATGGAATAGTTTTTAACATACAATATGAGTCAGCATCACGAAAATCGAAGTCAGAAGAGAAAGCAAACAAGTTAAAATTGAACGTAGATGAGAATGGCAATCAACGTTAAACCGTTAATAATTACCTCTCCAGATGTTCGCACGTTTTATCAATTCTATATCTACGAGCTCCAATACTTGGAAAAGTTAACTAAAGACAAAAATGAATAATCATTCCTAACGAGGAGATAATGAGTTACATAATCGAGTATTCCAATAAAAAAATTCATTGTTTTTATAACTGGAAAATTCTCGTAACTTTTTTGTCGAGTTTAATAAATGAAAATAAATGATTGGGTGAAATGAGTGGAAGAGTCACAGAATAATTTATTAATAAAATTTAAATATTCTAAATAAATTACGTAAAATGTATGTATAGTAGTATTTAAATTATATTTAATTTTTATATAATATGCAAATAAATAATTTTTTATGACAAAGTATATAATTAAAACAAGCAAAAAAAAGAAAGTTTAGGAGTAGAGGATTTATGGAATCGACAAACTTAAATAAGTAAATACTTGAATATATTTTACATGAGTTTCTTGAGTGTATTGTCTTCACATAACTTTTAAGAAAATATAACAAAGTTTAGACGTCTTTGTTCTTGATTTAATTAAAATTTACACGTATGAAATTTTCATTTATAATGAATCAATTTAATGAAGTTATTCCACTTGACTTCAGTTTTAATTATTTAATCAAACTACTACAGATTAAAATGGTTTATTAACCATTAATTTATTTTTCAAATGATTTATTAAATTCAACTCGGACCTTCTAATATTTATTAATCATCAATAAAGTGAATTAGTGAAGGACATTTATTTAATTAACTTTTCTAAACTCAAACTATCCATATCTTCCTTGTTTATAAAGACAACGACGATTAAACATTCTATATCCCATCTTACCCCGAGATGCACACCGTCTTGTTCTACAAATAAGCCAAGATGGGGAAGTTATTTTACAAGTTAATATTTTTATAAGGAGAATTCTATTTTTTTGTTTTGACTCATTAGAATTTAAAAAAAGAATAACTGATGATTTTTTAAATAAAAAAGTTCCTACATTGTGCAGTTAAAAAATGAAGGGTTTTTTTCATGAAATACCTTAAAGCCTCGTCTCACCCCACCTTCCCCTATCTTGAAATATGTTTATTCAATGTCATTTACTTTCTTGGCATGTTCGATCAACCTAGACCAGAGTAAAAAAGGTTCCAGCATGTAAGTGTATGTACATTAGACTCCACCGATTCAGTTATTTAGCGTTACACTCTCTGGAGAGATATTCCACAGGATCGATGGCACAGTAAACAAGAAGTGTGTGCATGTATTAAGCTAACACCATTTATGGCATCCATTTGCTGATGTCTTGGTTATGTAATTATTATTATTATACAGCAATAATGTCCATTAGTGAGGGAAGAAAATCATCAAACACAGTGATACTTTTCAGTTCTATTTAGAATTTTACATGAGTTATTTCGTTGTTTGTTCACAGGAGATTGTGCAACAAGTGAAAATTGTTTTGCTTTTTTATTCATCTCACGCTCCTCAATATCGAATGCACAGCGTGAAATAATGTTATCTACAGCATGCTGTATAGGGTTTATGAAGTTTAAAATAACAAAAAAGATGAGAAAAGGAAGAAAAAACGAATTTCGTAGCAGCTGCTTCGTATTCTATCATCGTCACAGTGTTGTGAAGTTTTCTAGAAGTGAATGCAATCTCGTGAAAAGGTTGATAATTTAATTGGCTTACAGAAACAAAGACAAATATATAATAGATTAAGTAAAGTGACACTATTACTTGCTACGCTTTGAATGAAAAATAAAAAAAATTATCATTGTCAACGTCCAACTGCTTATCAGGTCACACTAAGCCATTATTTTCAAACTTATTTGTTAATTACGTTGATGGAAGAAAGTTAAATTCCAGAAAACTCTTAGAAACTTTTGGTTTAGTATCGAACTCTCAGGTAAGAGAATCTCATACTGAGTATCTTCAAATAGAGTCTTGTCATCATTATGATCAGACAAAAGATGAGAAGAGTAAAAATATATAGTCAAAGGACTGACTTTCTCGAGTTACTTGGGTGACATTGGATAAGAAGGATGATTTGCTTTGTGTGATTTCTAGCTAAATTACAGTTTCGAAACGACAAAACGACAATTCCATCGAGGGGTTCTCGGTTAGTAATAGGTCGTAGTTAATTAAAGTTCTGTAAATTCTCAGCCACATAATGAATTGCACAGAAAAGTTTATGAATCAATAAACTTTCCTAGAGTACTAATAGTCTTGATAATTAAATCATAGATTGAATGGTTTTATCGAAAAAGGAAAATAAAATATCTATAATTATTCTACAAATGAATAACAGGTATTTTTATGAATTAAATGTCGTATAAATCCAATTAGAATAATTGAGTTGGAGAATGATCATTAGAATAATGTATACAGCTTGCTTATTTAAATATTAGATACTTATAAGATATGATGAATTAATTAATATAATTCGATTTATTAATTTTTTTTATTTGAAATTATTCTTTTTAGAATTAAATTTGGTCAGAGATTGTTTATTAATCAAATAATTGACTTAAATACTTTGGTTAAAAAATAAAAAATGAATCATCACATCAATTGTTTATCAATTGAATTTTGGTAATCAAATTCAAATGCTTTGGCAATAAAAAGTTCAAATGAAACAACTGTAACAATTTCATCATAAATCACAGTTGGTTTGTGGAAATAGTTTATCACCAAAATTGATGCAAAATTAAAAACACAAAGTAATAATTTATGTTTTATGTAATTAAATCCTAAATATATGAGTGAGAATAATCAACGATTATAGTATTGAATTTACGAGGTTTTATTCGACTTAATAATACTCAATGAATCAATTATAGTATTACAGAATTATTGTCACGGGTGCACTCCAATCTCGGCTTATTTCCATTTGAGTCAATAGCCATGAGTATTTGCAGATGGAGTCTCATAAATTTCAAATGGACTAAGTACTCTGTTTACTCAAAAGTCTCCCGTTGGAACCATAATTCAACTGTTCACTGACATCAAGACATATTTTATTTATGTTAAATAAAAAATAACTTCTTTTACGTTGATATTTTTACTTATATATTATTTCGATATTGCTAATAGTATTTAGTACCTATTCAGCGAGCTTTGTTCTAGTCTTCTAGTCATTTGAGCTGATTGACTGGTGCACTCTGAAATACTGCTTTGTTATTGAGGTTACTATCGATTTACCACTGCACTACTAGCCACTTTGATCAAGTAAAGCATTGTGTATGTACAGTTCACTATATAACGCAAATAATTCACTCAAAAGGATAAGTAATTATTCACTATGAAAATATATCGATTACAGAATAATATTGTATTAGATTCCTATTTCCTAAGCTCACCAACTATTCTGTAAAGTAGGTTTAGATTATCAGAATTTATGGAACCGAGTATTGACAAATTTATTGAGAAGTCTATCAATTTAGCAAATCCTAGAGAAACTTGATTCTCTATATCCTGCAAGCCGTCTTGCAATGACTTATTGCACTGTTTCTGCAATAAGTCATTGATAATTATCATGATGGCTGATTTACATGCTAAGTGAAGGTAACAGTTTGGCTAAAGGGTCTTACGGAAACATTTAACGTTGATCAATATCAAATCAACAGCTATTAGTTACTGATGCAAATCAATAAAACCAAGCTTTATTATTTTAGATAATATAATGGGAATGAAAGAAAAGTAATCAGAAATTTTATTCTTGTTGCAGTTTCTTGATATAAAATAATGTGAAATTTCATCACGTAAGTAGATTATAATATTCGATT